GTAAAATGGATAAGACGTTGGCTACCACTCAGAGGACCAAAGGTTCGATCCCCTAAGCATTTTTGCCATTTTTTTAGAACCTTATGATCTGAAGCTTCATTATCAACATCTACAAGACCAAAAAAAATAACTTCACAAAAAAATATGAATTAAAATGGATGAGACGTTGGCTACCACTCAGAGGACCAAAGGTTCGATCCCCTAAGCATTTTTGCCATTTTTTTAGAACCTTATGATCTGAAGCTTCATTATCAACATCTACAAGACCAAAAAAGATATAACTTCACAAAAAAATGTAGTGAAATGGATAAGACGTTGGCTACCACTCAGAGGACCAAAGGTTCGATCCCCTAAGCATTTTTGCCATTTTTTTAAACCTTATGATCTGAAGCTTCATTATCAACATCTACAAGACCAAAAAAGATATAACTTCACAAAAAAATGTAGTGAAATGGATAAGACGATGGCTACCACTCAGGGGACCAAAGGTTCAATCCCCTGAGCATTTTTGCCATTTTTCCAAAGCCTCTTATCAACATCTACAAGATGAAAAAAGATATAACTTCACAAAAACTCTGTAGTAAAATGGATAAGACGTCGGCTACCACTCAGAGGACCAAAGGTTCGATCCCCTAAGCATTTTTGCCGTTTTTCCAAAGCCTCTTATCAACATCTACAAGATGAAAAAGGATATCTCAAAACTGCAAAAAGCAACAAAAAAGGTGAAACACGAAGAGAAAAGAGGCCAAAGAGCCTGAAAAAAGGAATGAAATTATAGGGCGAGTGAGTCTGAATAACCAAATAGGGGCGACATCTCATACACGCGCTAAATGCCAATGCGATTCGTTATTAACAAAAAAAAACGACTGGGCCTGATACGACGAAATTTTCAATAGGACAGAATAGAATGAAATGAAGCTGAAAGAACGGAAAAAAAAGAAGTCGAATATAAATTCAAATCAAGAAGGAATCGGAGAAGCTGCCGCTTAATGCAAATATACGACGAGATGGAGGGCCGACTTTGCTGTACTTTTCTCAAGATTTCCCAGATGTTTTTCCACTTCTCCCCTATTTGATTGCAATTTGAGGAGGGACTAATCTTTATGGGAGACTGGAGGGGATTCCTTCAAATTTTATCGAGATTCCAAGAAATGCATGACCTTCAAGTTGAAATAAAGTAAAAAATCGCAAAAAGGTACAAAAATTGGGAAGCTGAAGTTTTTGGCCTAGTCAGAAATCCAGCCGTTCCAAGCTTGAAAATTAGAAAAAAGTGACATTTTTTATTTTTCCCAAATTTCAGTTCGAAGCGTTTCTGACGTGAAAATCGAGCCAAAATTCACATTAAAAGCACAAAAAGCCCTAAAAACGGTATTGATGGCTTGAAAAACAGTAAATTATATAGTAATAAGGTCAGAGAGACGTTTTATGTGTAAGTCAAGCCAAAATTCTCATCAAAACCCGAAAGAGGCCTAAAACTGCCCTTCTGAAGATTATAGAAAGTTCGTTCTGGACCTAGGAAGCTCGAAAAAGGCTAGAAATTTTATATCGCTTTCAAATCTAATGAAAATGAAGTCAGTAGTGCTTTCAATGTGAAAAAAAAAGTCCAAAATTATGATCAAAGCCCAAAAAAGGCCTGAAAAATGTCCTTCTCAAGCTTAAAAGACGTCCGTTTCAAGCCTAGGGAAGCTCGAAAACGGCTATAATATATCCAGATTGATTTCAAATAACATGGTTATGAAGCCAGAAGTGCGTTTTGTGTGAAAAACGAGCCGAAATTCTAATCAAAGTTCAAAAAAGGCCTAAAAACTGTTCTTCTCAAGCTCATAAGAACTTCGTTTCAAGCTCAAAAAAGGCTAGAAGCTTTAAATTTCCTTGAAAAAAATGGTCAGAAGTGCTTTTAATATAAAAATAAGGTCAAAATCATGATCAACTTTCGAAAAAGGTCTGAAAAATGTCTTTTCAGAGCTCATAAAAAAAGCAGTTTCAAGACTGAGAAGCTCGAAAAAAGGCTAGAAGTTTTAAAGTACTTTCAATAAAATTGGTCAGAAGTGTGATTTATATGGAAATCTAGCCAAAATTATCATCAAAATCTGAAAAATGTCCTCCTCTCGCTTGTAAGACGAAGAAGCATAGGAAGCTCGAAAAAGGATTCATTTTTTGAATTTCCTGCGATAAAAATGGTCAGAAGTGCTATGGAGGTCAAAAAAAACCCCTAAAATCATCAACTTTCAAAAAAGACCTGAAAGCTGTCCTTCTCCAGCTCATAAGAAGTTCGTTTCAAGCTCAAAAAAGGCTAGAAGCTTTGAATTTCTTTTTTTTTTAATGGTCAGAAGTGCTTTTAATATAAAAATAAGGTCAAAATCATGATCAACTTTCGAAAAAGACCTGAAAAAGGCCTTCTTAAAGCTCATAAGAAGTCAGAGTCAAGCCTGAGAAGCTCGAAAAAAGGCTAGAAGCTTTAAATTTTGTTCCAATAAAAATGGTCAGAAGGGGTCAACATTCAAAAAGCCTAAAAAATGTCCTTCTCAAGCTCATAAGGCTTCCGTTTCAAGCCTAGGAAGCTCAAAGAAAGGCTAAATATGTCAGGTAACCATCAGGTAACACATGGAAACAGAAAAGTACAAAAAAGGCCGGGAAAAACTGCCCTATTCAGGCCTGACGAGAGCTCATCCGGTTGCACCAAGTGCATCTTTTTTTTTTCCGGGCCGATCGGCTAACTCGATAAGACTTTTCAAATTACTTTCTTCCCTCCAATTGCGCCCATCCACGCGTTTAGGGCAATGTCCGTAGTAGGAGTAGCATTGAATTCAAATGAGATCCGTCTTCTTTTTTTCTTGGATATCTCATGTTAGAGAAGAGATACTCAAGTTAGAAAAAAAGAGCCTTCTTAACATGACTTGTTATATTCAACATGTAAGTGAATCATTTTTTCCCAATTTCAAACCAAAATTTGAACAAAAAACCTTCGAAAAATCAGTTTCTCCTCATTTTTCTCAATTGAAAGTGCCGTCGCCAGCGTCGCTGAATCACCGAGGCCGCGATATCGCGAAGTTTCGCACAGGTAAGTGCGTCCTGACTAGCCAGGTGCTCGATTATCTATAAATTCAAGCTCTAAATATTTTCTGATGACGTCATTTAGTGATTAAATTGTGACGTCAACCAAAATTTCAGTATCTAAATCGCCTTAAAACCCCTTCTTCTAACGCTTTAGTTGTAGTAAATGACTTGAACTTTGATTTTTCGAAATTCCAGCCCCTTGATGACGTCATTTATTGATTAAATTGTGACGTCAACCAGCAATTTCACCTGTAAAAGTTTCAAATTCGCCTTAAAACCCTTTTTTCCAATGCCTTAGTAGTAGTAAATGACTTGAACTTTGATTTTTCGAAATTCCAGCCCTTTGATGACGTCATTTATCATTGAAAATAACATTGATGACGTCTTTTATTGATTTAATTGTGACGTCAACCAAAGATTTCACTTATAAAAGTACAAAATTCGCTTTAAAACCTTTTTCCAATGCTTTAGTTGTAATAAATGACTTGAACTTTGTTTTTTCGAAATCCCAGCCCTTTGATGACGTCACCTAATGTTGGAAATTTGAAAAAGGTGACGTCATTAAAAAAAAAAAATCAAAACTGACATTTTTATGGTTATTCTCAAAGGCGCAATCCATTGGTGTCCTCTGATAATTGTCCAGGGCGTTTATTGCCGAGCCTCCCTAAAAATTAGAACTTTTCGTCTCGAAACCATTTTTGATGAAAAAAGTGATGCACCTTTAAGAGGGCCAAGACGCAATCGATGCGGCCAACTAGACAAGCTTCGTGGAGGGCTGTTTTACCTGGGAATTTCAGGTAACTTTCGAGGATAACTTAAAGGCATAGGGGCAGTAAAAAATGGAGTTTCAGGTTAAAGCAGTATCCTATATAGTTTTCTTCTTTTCTTTGCGAATCGAATGGTTCACTCAAAAAAATTACAGATGTGACAACTTTAGAAGAAAAACGCGATTTTACTTTCCCGCCTTTATTTTTGAAAAAAGCTTTGGATCGGTGCTCAGACAACTGATTACAGTAGCCGTACACGCGATGTTGCGGACGTATCGATAGACTCGCATTTTGTGAGAAATAACCGGATATCTGCTTCAAATTAAAGGTTTCTTCTCTGAAAAAACATTTAGTCAAACAAAAAACACACACCGATAATAAAGGAAACACAAAATAACGCTATCCTAATCGAAACCTGTGTAAAATCATCATTTTTCACCAAAGAAGCATTTTTGCGATCAAAGTTTGCAAATTATACATGAATAGAAAGCTTTTGTGACGAAAAGAACTTTGGTGACAACAGAAAAAATTGAAATTTGTAAGAAACGAAGAAAAAAGCGAAAATCCGACAAATGGCGAAGCCTGTTGTCCATAGAGCAACTTTACTGCAAAGCGCCCTTTTCGCGGGAACTCAAACATTCGTCTCTCCGACTTTGAATTATTTTTTCTCCAAAACCAGGAACTTCTGTACGTTTCCAAGTTCACCGTTCGATTCGCTATGAAAAGCTCTACAAAGTACTGCTTTGAACTAAAACACCGTTTTTTACTGCCCCTATGCCTTTAAATCGGTAGCCAGCAATTCAATTGAAATTAAGAAAAAATATAATTTTTCCAATGAAAGTGATAACTTTAGGGGTGTGAAATGATATGCACTGAAGATGGGTTAAGTGGTCCCTATAGGTGAGCAAGCTTGACGCGCATTGTTATGAAATCTCTGTGGCCCCTATAGGGGCTTTTGAAGTCTCCCCTCTAGGGCTCTTATCTTCCCCTATCGTGGGAGCGCAAAAAGTGGCCACTCTAGGGGAGAATTTCGGTGTTCCCTCTACGCATTTTCAACTTCAAATCTGACCAAAAAATTTAAAATTCCCTAAGGGGCTTAACGGCCAAATACTTGACCCCTACAAGGACTGTCTTCCTCTTTAGTGACCTCTCCCCCTTAACCCTTTAGGGACCACTCTAGGGATCACCTTCGTGATCTCTCCAGCCGACGAGCGGCGACTTCAAGCAATCGTCTTCTTCCTCGATCTACAAAATTGATTGTATTGATCTAAAAAAGGAAGATCCAACATTGAGGAGAACATTGATACAAGCGGAAAAGCCGGAAAAAGCGGCCGCATGCAACGGCGTCCGTCCCAGGGCGTCTGTGATCGGCCGTTGATCTTTTCTGAATCAATATCGATTGATCAAATAATCAATAATTACTACAGTACCCTCCAGTCCTCCATTCGAACCCCAGCTCTTTGATCATGCAGTGAAGGGTGTGTGATTGGCCTCCGAGACACGCCCAGAACACTGGAGTTCTGGAAAAAAAGTTCGGTGGAGCGAAAATGATCTCAAAGTCCTTTTTTTCCCAGCTCGAACCTGTCAACGGCATCCCTCTCGTTCATATTGGCGCCGGAAGTCACGAGAAATCTGACGATTTCCGTGTAACCGCGCCCCACCGCCAAATGCAGCGCCGTATTGTTGGACTTGTCCCTTTCCTGGGAATCATTGGAATTTTCAGACCTAAGGTTGGGAGAAATGAAGAGTTCCGTCTAACAACTTTTTGATTTGGGAAGGCCTGAGTGGTCCCTATAGGGGTCAGGGATGCAAAAAGCGGTTAAATAGGGGCAGAAAGTTCTTCCTAGAGGGGTAAAATCCAAGTGGTCCCTATAGGAGTGAATGGTCTGTCACTAGTTCCTCAAGCTTAAGTGGAGTCAGGAAAGCAAAAAAGCGGTTAAACATATATTTGAAAAAGTGACAGAACATGCTCCCTAGAGGGAAAAAATCTAAGTGGTCCCTATAGGAGTGAATGGTCTGTCGCTAGTTCCTTGGAAAAAAAAATCAGTGCCCCTACGGTTGTCCCTCTAGCAACCACTCTGGCGTAGAAAGTGGTTTTTCAAGATTCGCATTAGAGCGAACATTCTCGATTTTTTCCCATAAAACTCACCGAGATGCTCCAGCCTTGATTGACCAATATTTTGCAGACATTCTCGTTTCCAGCCATTGCCGCCAAGTGTAGAGCCGTGTAGCCGTACTTGTCCTGCTTTTCTCGTTTTTATTATTTTTCCATTTCATACAATCCGTTCAGATTTTAAATTTCAAGTCAATGACGTCATTAGAAAACGCTCTCTGATTGGTTAATCGGGGGGGGCGGAGCTTCAGCGGTGACTTGAAGTTTAAAATATGAAAAGACCGTGAAGTTTAACCTTTTTACATTATTTATTCGGACCTCGGTTAAATAAACTTTTCAGAAACTCCTTAGTGGCCCCTATAGGGGCTTCAAGGTTCCCTTTAACCTACCCTTACAGGGGTCACTAAAGCTTGCAAGTGGCCCCTATAGGGTAGGTCCGATCCTGAACCCCTTAAGAGACTAACCAAATTTTGGATCAATACAGAGTAACTTGAGCACTTATTTGTATAGGGACCACTTTATAGTACCTAAGTTTCTGAGAATTTCAAGTGGTCTCTTAAGAGTGCAGAAGTCTCTTAAGGGATCCCTAGAAGTGCTCCCTGTGGCGCGTCTGGTTTGAGTATAGGACAAAAGCGCCGATTCCAAGAGCGCCGTTCAAATTTAGCGCCAGTCCGCAATGCGCCGTCGCGTGTATGCGCCGTGTATGCAGACGCCGCTTTCTTTTGCGCCGAGTCCGTTTGCGCCGAATCGTTTTGCGCCGTTATTTCAAACTTTTATTTATTCGCTCTTTTTATATTATTTATTAATAATTGTTTACTACACATTCATATACGACTCGAATAATTTTTCGCGCTATCCGTTAATGATGAGTTTTTAGGTCCACTTTGGTCCAGGTAAAATATTTTTTTCCCCTTTTTTTCTTTTCAAAGTAAAAAAATAAAAAGCAAATATGCTTTTCTGATTTCGAAAAATACAGAAAACGTAAGGAAAAGAGAATGGATAAAAAAAATTATTGCTTTAAACGACATACTGAGTGATTTTTTTTGTGATTGCAAATTTTCTGCGTTAGGTAAGGCAAAGTTTCAATTCTAGCAGACGTGAAACAGCAGAAAATCGTTTTTCGTAACGTTGAACTCATTTTCTTCAAACAATAGTTCGAGTTTTTTCGAAAATGCGGCAGAAAAGTCCATATTAACAGATGGCGCGAAAATTATTCGAGTCGTATATGAATGTGTAGTAAAAAATTATTAAAAAATAATGAAAAAAGAGCGAAAAAATAAAAGTTTGAAATAACGGCGCAAAACGATTCGGCGCAAACGGACTCGGCGCAAAAGAAAGCGGCGTCTGTATACACGGCGCATACACGCGACGGCGCATTGCGGACTGGCGCTCAATTTGAACGGCGCTCTTGGAATCGGTGCTTTTGTCCTATACTCTCTGGTTTTCGTTACCGAGGTCCGAGTACAGTAGAAACCAATTTTTTTTCAGAATAACCGGTAAAAAATTATGAAAAGAAAGTTTCCATTGTGAAAACTAAACCGTGGCATGCCGATCCGGGGCCTCTTTCCTCTGTATGAGATAATGAATCGCGTCGACGTTTCCCGCCACGGCCGCCCACATCAGACAAGTTCGATTCTGATCGTCTTTCACTTCCTCAAAATCAAAATTTAAACGGAAAATCTTCAGGAAACTATAGTCGATGTGCCACAAGTTGAAATTTCATGGAACGACACTCCGCTGTTTTTATTTGTGCGGTAGCGCGCATCGTGCGAATTTGCCAACCTCGGCCATGCTAGTTTTTTTGGTTTTAATTCTAATTTTGATCGTTTTTTTTAATTTTTTTATTTCTTTAAAATGTATTATAATCGTTGAAAAGGATTGCGTTGTACAAATGTGAACGAAAGAACACAGTAAATTTCATGATCTTCCTCGAAAAGAGCGATAAAAAAAGTGTTGTTTTGTTAAAGCCATGTTTTAATGTTTTCGTCGTTTTTTTTCTGTTTGTCGCATTTTTTAATGGATTTTTTCAAAAAGTGAGTGGCTTATAAAATGAAGATTAAAACCGAAAAAATTGGCCGAAGTTGGCAAATTCGCACGATGCGCGCTACCGCACAAATCGAAACAGCGGAATGTCGTTCCATGAAATTTCAACTTGTGGCACATCGACTATACCGTGATGTGGCTCCGGGTCAATAAAAGATCCAAGCATTTGACGCTAAATTGGGCGGCGTAGTGGGCCGGAGTGACGCCAAACTTGTCCCTTAAGTGGTCACTGCATGTTTAATTTTTTCTTTTTATTTTAAATATCGAAAAATTGGATTTCCGGCTGATTTCAGTGAAAGAAAACTGAAAAATAACCGAAAAAAGAAGAAAAGTTTAATTTTTGCAAAATAATTATCGTGAAAATTTTTAGCGATTTTGCGACAAATCAAGAGAATTCATTTTTTGTTCGAAATACTTTTGATTTATTTTTCCTCCGCAGAAATTAACAGTCAAAAACATTTACTCATGACCGTAAATCCATGCGGAGAAATGTCTCCCATAACTGCGCGACATTTGCGCTAAGCCACGCCCACTAACCTCCCTCTCGAGCATTTTTACTTTTTAAAACCTTTTTTGATTCATTTTTCCTCCGCAGAAATCAAAATTCGAAAAAGTTTACTCAAAAAAAAAAAAATCCAGGCGGAGAAACGTCTCTCATAACTGCGCATCAGTTGCGCTAAGCCACGCCCACTAACCACCCTCTCGAGCCTTTTTAATTTTGGAAAACTTTTCAAAAAGATCCGTTTATACTCCGTTTTTCGCGACTTTAACTGTTTTTCTCTGCGCCCTCCGCGACTCTCGGCGACCCTCTCATGTTGACGTGCTATTTTCACGTTTCTCTGACCTCAGACACGCGGAAACGTTCAAGTCGCGGCGATAAGGCATTTTTCGTATTATCAAATCGAAAAAAAAAGCGATTCATGAATGAACCATCCACAACAAAATGCCTAAAGTGATCCCTTGAACAAACCTTGTCGAATTTCTCGCTCCATTGTTCAACAAAACCGTAACTATCTCGTCGAAGCCTTGTTCCGCCGCGTAGTGCAAAGGCGTTCGGGATTCTTCGTCGGGAGCCTTGAAGATGAAGTTCAGGAACTTCCCTTGACTTTTGGAAACCTCCAACTGGCATTCGAGCTCCTCGACAAGGAGCTTGACCATGGCGACGTTCTGAGAAGCGACGGCGAGGTGCAGCGCCGTCTGGCCGTCTTTATTCCTCGCTTCCCTTGAAGGCGGCTTCCTTCTGAACTAGGCTATCGACGGCTTGGAAGACAGAAGAACTTTATGAGAAATCGGACGACGGCTGGGGTTTGTGGAAGTGCGACACAGACGGCACACATCAGCGGTGTTACGCCGTAAATGTCTTTCTGGTCGATTGGATAGCCGAGTTTCGCATCTAGAAGTTCATCACGTCAGAAAACACTCCGGAACTCCGAAGTGGTCCCTATAGGGGAATCCTCAGGCTTTTGAATGAGCCCACTTTACCATCTCCTCTTGGGACCACTAATTCTCAAAAGTGACCCTTATAGGGGACATGCCAGTCGATTTTTTGTACCCCTACAGGGACCTCTCTGGTATTCATGAGTGAAGACAGACAAATTCGAGCGCAAATAAATCACACTTCACTTGGAAAGATTTTAGTAGCCACTAGAGGCTCGCCAAGGACTACCTGGAGAAGACACTAAAGTGGCCACTATTTACCGATTTAGTGACCACTTTAGTAGTTTTTCATCCAGTATTCCTTTCAGTTACTCTGATAATTTTTAAACGAACAGATTGGACCAGTTATGTTGATCCATTGATCCCTAAAGTGGCCACTGAAATTTGTTGTGGACCAGTAGTAGCACCACGGCGTTCCTAATGGGGGTGAGGAAGGTGAGCGAGGCGTCAAAGTTTCTAAATTTACAGAAAAAAATTTGTGCGCGCTACGGATAAAATGACGTCATTCTACGTCACAAATTAAACTGAGTATTCAACGTTAATAACTTGTTTGTTCGATCGCCTTCGGCTGAAGTACTGTAGATTTCAAACTTCGCGCCAAAATTTTTTTGACGTCTTGCCACCCCGTTTGGGAACGCCGTGAGCACTTAGACCTCTATAGTGGCCACTAAATCGACTACTATAGTGGCCACTAAAACGTCAAAATCCTATAGTGTCCACTTAAATATTTTCCCAGCATACTTTCGTTGATTTTTAGGGTTAAAAGCTATATTAATAACGGGTTGCGGTTGCCTATTCATAACACACCTAAAATCGCCTTCACAGCGTCGATATTCACGCTGCAAGCCGCATAATGCAATGGAGACCGTCCTCGTCGATCTTTCGTTTTGTCATATAAATCTTTTTCCTCTGATAACAACTCCAGGAACATCTGAAGTTCAATTTTAAGGCTCCTTTGCAGATTTAAAAAACTAAACTTCAAAATTTTCGAGCCGTGTTTAGTTGCAGCCGTGTGTAGGGGAGTCACTTGGTCCTTCTCTTTTCGCAGAACTTGTTCTTTCCCTTTTTCAAGGGATATCAGGTGCCTGGCAACCTGAAACAACTGAAAAATAAATTAGATAATGTGCTTATGAACCTTGTAGGAATCACATCTTGTCGCCCAATGAAGAGGCGTTGCCTGATATGAGTCCACGTCTGATGGTGATAAGCCTTTTCTGTAAGATTTTCCAGTTTTTAAGTTCTTAGGAGCTCCAGAGTGGTCCCTATAGGGGCCCTTGGAGGGTCCTGGCTAGGCACCACTTTAGTAACCTCTATAGAGTACACTAAAACTTGAAAAAGTGGTACCTATAGGGGTTTTAGTTAGTGGCCCCTATAGGGGGCATGCCAGTTTTTACGAACTCTATGCGGAGAAGCATTTCCATGCAAAAACTGACAAAAACAACCTTTTTTGAATAAACTTGAACGACCCTTATAGGGACCACTCAAGCTTTGGGGGCTAAGGAGCCAAACCCTAAACCCCTCTAGGGATCACCTTGATTATGTCCTTATAGGGATCTCTTTTGCGGTCCCTATATGGGTGTTTTCCCCCTAACCCTTATAGGTACCACTTTAAAATTCCTCAGTTGTTTTCGATTATTCAAGGAAAAAGGAAGAGTTGATAAATTCAACAACTCGATAAATTATAGAAACTTTTAGACCCGTTTTAAATAGACTTAGAAAAATTTCTTCAATTATTCCAAAAGAGTCTTACTGTTTTAAAATTCTGGAAGGCAAAAGAATTGTTATCAATTCATTCCCCACGACGTCAAAGCAACAAAAAAAAACAAACTTGATTAAAAATTGGGCATTTTTCAAGTTATCAGTCATCGCCGCGTAGAACAACGCATTTCGCCCACGATGATCCACTTCTTTTAATGATTGAGGCTCTTTCTTCACCAAGGACTCCAGTTCGGACTGGAATTGTTGAATAAAAAAGGTAAAAAGTTAAATCCAAAACACAAATTTTAAAAAAATCACCAATCCTTCTTCTGCTGCTGTGTAGAAGATTTTCTTGTTCGTCGAGGACATTTCTGCAATCGAAACTTTTTTAAATTGATATTATTGCAATAAAACGATATATTGAGATGATGGAATGACTTGGAAACTGTGAAATCTTCATACGAAGTATTTTTCAAACCGAAGATCACGATAAAACAAAATTCTGTATGAACGCTGACGCACTTGGCCTTTCGAAATTTTTTTTCCTTTTTCTTTCGAATTCGACTATTCTTTTTTCTTTTTTTTATAGTTCTGATGAATTTTTATTATTTCGGAGACATGTCGCATCGAAGTGTTTGGTTCGAACGATTTTTTGATGCATTTTTTTGATATATCCGAATTCCTAATCCACTCATTATTTTTCGATTTTTTTACTTTTTTTCAGTGCTTAAAAAAATATTTTTATATGATTGTGCAATATGCTAAAAAGCTTACAAACGAATCAAACATTTTTATATTATTAGAAGGAAAAAACGTTATTTTGGGAGCTTCGTATATTTATATTGTTAGCTCACGTTCGTCGTTCCAAAATGAAGCTTCACAAAAGTTTTTGTTGAAACATCTTTTTTTCAATTAAAAATTCGTTTATTTCAAAAAAATGAATTTGTTACGCTACCAAGTAATAGTACAAAAATTCGTTTTTTGGTTTTTTTATAACTTTTACTTGAACTCGAGGCTATCAGGAAGACTGAAAACAATTGAAATAGTGGAAAAAAGAAGAGAGAAAAGACGGCGTCGAGAAAGAAGAAGATCCATCAATCGATAGGACAGGTTCAAAATATTCCACGAAGCACCCCCGAAGAACTGGTTTTTAGTTCATTTTTCATGAGATAGCCTTTTTTATTTGCTTCTAAAAGTGCATAGAAAGAAAAAAAATTCAGTAGAAAATTTCTCAAGACTTGACAATTTTCGAACATTGGTAAGAATTGATATTTGCTAGTTGTGGGCCAAACTTCAAGAAACAGTTCCATTGTTGTTTTGAGACGTTCTGAAAATAGTTTTCCATTTTTTTTATAGATAATCAATTAAACCTTATTAACGAATCTGGTGCAAACGGAATTGACGTAGTTTCTTGTAATAGCCGCTTTTGCGACGCCGTAAACTTTTTGCATACAAATTTCCTGTTTTTGGGCCGCCGGCTGGTTATTTGTGTGGATGCAGTCCGTAATCGTTTGGATGAACTGGAAAAATGTATTATAGCAATTTTTTTGATGTTTAAAGAAAAAAATTTGATCGAAATCTCAAGTTAAAGATTGCGATTTTTTTAATTAAAAATGATGCCAAGGACTGAAACTTATGTTCAAAAATTGATTAATAGAGATTAATTTTTTTCTCCATTAGTAACACTTTTTTTAGAACTTCTCATCGAAAATAAATATATTCTGTGAAAATTTGAGACGTAGTATTTTTCTTTATACTTATCAGAGTATGTAGACTTTTTTTGAATGAAAAATTGAAGTAAAACTATGTTTTTTTCTTATTCGAATTGAAGCCTCGATATAGTTCCATTCTGTCCCATTTCAGACTTGCCCCCCCTTGTGAAAAAAAATATCGACTTTAAATTGAACCCACCTTTTTTTCTTGAGTGGCATTACAATTTGCTTAAAAGGCGGATAAAGTGTGGCAGCGATTTCGTCGAGTTTCTGTGGCTTCAAACAAGAATTAACTGAAATCAAGGACGAAATTTGGGCTTTAGAAGAAAAAAGGTTACAATTATTATAAAGAGAAAGTGCCTGGAAAGCCTTGTTGCCCGAGTTTTGGAGGACGCAGCCTTTGATACCTGAAAAATTTGAGGATTCAAAATTTTTGACAGCTATAATAAAAGTTTTTCGAGCCTTTAAGCTTCAAAAAAAGTACGAACTTTTCAATAAAGTATCGTCGTCGACCTGGTTGAAGATTGAAGGCTCGACGCATTTTAAAATCTATAAAAGATTGAAATTTTCAAGTTTTTTTCAACTTTTGCGCGGTTTCTTGATTTTAACTCTTATACAATTTTCCCTGAACTTTTTTTTTCCTAGAGTCCGAAGGCAGTGCCTTAGAGAACACACGGCGTCAAAAAATTTTGGCGCGAAAATTCAAATCTCAAGCACGCAGCCAAAAGCGATCGAACAAACAAGTTATTAACATTGAATACTCAGTGTAATCTGTGACGTAGAATGACGTCATTTTTTCCGGAGCGCGCACTCCCTTTTTTATAATACAGGGTGACAAGTAAATATTGAAACGCGTTTGAAACGTTATAACTTTCTCAAAAGTCAACCAAACACCACCAAACTTGATACAAATTTTATTCATACAATATAGAAACAAAATTCAAGAATAGTTTTCAAAACGTTCTCCTTTAGCTTTGATAACGGCCTTCAGTCTCTTCGGATACGCATCGATCACGGCACGAGGGTAGTCGTCGTCGATTTCGTCCCATTTCTTGATGAGCGCGGTCTTCAGAGCTTTGATACTTGGGTTTTTCTTAGAAGAGACCTTCTCGGTCAGATATATCCACACGGCATAGTCCATCGGGTTGAGGTCGGGCGAGGAAGCAGGCCTATCAGCAGCCGAGATGAACTTGGAAAATTGGCGCGATACCACTCTTGAGTCCCTTTGGCACGATGAGCGAGGGCGCCGTCTTGTTGGAATGTCCATGGTCGGTTTCCGTAGTGAGAATTGGCTCAGGGCAACACCCTCAACTTTAAAATCTACTACTGTAGTATACTTGGTTCACTTTGACTCCAGAATCCACAAAAATCAGCGGAGTTTTGTCGTCAGCGGTAATTCCGGCAAAAACCATCACGGAAGCCGGATACGAAGTTTTATTCAGAATTTTTTCTTTTTCACAGGCACTCTGATAGTCAGTAGCGATGATCGGATGGTTTTGGCCGTTCTTGTTCGTCTCCACAGTTAAGATTTTCTCGTCGGTAAATAGCGTCGTCAGATGCGAGCCATCTTTCGTGCCAGCGAGCAGCTTTCGAGCCTTTTTCATCCGGAATGTCTTGTTTTTTTGACTGAGAAAGGCTCCTTTCTGCATACGGTAGGGAATCATCTTCAGCTTGTCCTTGACAATAGTTCTCATCGATTCTCGACTCATTTCGTATTCTTTTGACATGTTTCTCATGCTTCTTTCCGGCGTGCGTCTGATTTTCTCTCGCACGGCTTTGACTGCTTCTGGAGTCGTGACGGTGACTGGAAATCCCCTTCTTTTGATGTCATCTGAAGTACCGAGATGCCGATAGCGTTGTGCAGTTCGAAAAACGAGAACACGAGACACTTTCAGCTTTTTAACGATCTCTGAATTCGTCATTCCGCTTTTGACACAATCAATGATTGCGGTACGGTACGGAGATGGGGCCACCATTACCTGAAAACTGAAAAGTATGAGCTGTAACTTCAAACACATGATAAGTGAGCATGAAAGAACGATATAAACAAAAAAATTCAAAGGCCAGTCCTTTGTGCAAAAAGCAGCGATCAAACAAAAAACGGTTTCAATATTTACTTGTCACCCTGTAAATTTAGAAACTTTGACGCCTCGCTCACCTTCCCTCACCCCATTAGGAAAATCTTTCTATTTTTCAAAAATTAATCCAAACCGTTGCTAGTTCTGGAGGTGAATAGAAAATGGCGCCAAGGGCTTTGATTTTTTGACAAAGTTGCATCCGATTGTCGGCGGCGACCAGAGACATAAGCAGAAAAAGTATCAGGAGCTTCATTTGGCCTGAATTTCAAACGTTTTCAAAAAAGAAGCTGTTTTTCAACAGATTACACAACGATAAGCCGGAAGAGTTCAAAATCATTTTTTTTAATCAGAAGGAAGGCTTTTTTTCCAAGAGACATTCAGATTACTCAAGAAAAAAAAAATCGGAACATGAAGTTCAAAAGTCAAAAAAACAGATTCCCATTTTCTGTCCCCAATTTTTGTTTTTTAATCTTTATTATGTATTGAGGGCACCTTATCATTGTGAGCCTACGTCAAATGCAACGGTTCAAAACAAAATTTAAAAAGGAAAAATAGGGCTTTTAATGGAAATTCTTGAGATTTTTACGGCTCACCTAATTTTCTTATTCCTTTTTTTTCAAATAAACGTTTTCTCTATTCACGTGTATCTCTTGCTCATTTTATCACACTTCCGTCTTTCGATAGCTACTTCTGAGAATGGGGTCTGTATTTTGGGAGAAGTTGATTCACTCGGGTTCAGTCGGACCAGCACCAGGAAGTCGTCGTGGAGCGGTCACGAGGACGACCCGAAGGCCCACGAGGAGCAGGACTGGTACCACGGGCTCCTGCCCAGGGCCGACATCAGCTCGTACGTCTTTTCCTGTCCTTTTCATGAGAGACTGGTCTCAACTCACAGGGGGGATTTCTGAAGGGGACTGGTTGCAGTTTTTCATTCTGAACCCAAAAAAGCTGGGGAGGGAAGTTAGGACAGCTCAGAGCTGATCTAAGCATGAGATAGACTGGTTTTTGGGAATTTAACCAGAAGTGTCAAAGTGAGTTCTTTGAAGCCAAAAACTTCCAGGCTTCTCGAGAAAGACGGCGATTTTCTGCTCCGAGCCTCGTCGATCAGTGATGCGGAGGTAGTTCATTTTCAACGGATAGAGAAATATGACCGAAGCGATTTTCTTCAAGAAAACGTTTCAAAATTATTAACTATTTTGATTTTATTGATTATTTTGAATTTCGCAAAAACTAACTTAGAACATGGCATGTGCGACAGCGCCGCAGTACATGCACACATCACATTACACTTTACGGAAAAATATTGTCAGGGCGTCGTCAAAAAAAAAAACCCCGTTTGTAGTTTGTTTCAATACTTTTCGATGCCAATCTTTTAGTAATCCCTTTTTTTGAAAATACTTTGAAAAAGGAGTAAAATTTTCAATATACCTCACTTGATTTCAATAACCGAGTTATTTTCTTCAATTTTCGTTCAAATCCTCAATTCCAGCCATTGCGGACGATCATATCGATTAAATGGAAAAGCAAAATTCATCATTATATTCTCGTCGAATGTCTGGATGGTACCTTCCAGAACTGATTTTGAACCATTTTCTGTATTTCAAGGCTCAATCTCATTGGACAAACATCGGTACGGGACGGTTTTTGGAGCTGGTCGGAGCTCTTATGTACAAAAAAAGCTGCCGATTACTTCGGATTTGGGGGGGCTTTGCTCATCAATCCGATCGTCAAGCAAGACTGGGAGCTCAGGCATAACCAGGTCGGTTTTTCAGACGGCTTTTGGTCTCGAAAATTGATTTTTTTAGCTTCCATAACTCTTGATAAGGTTCATTCATACTTTAGGTTGTTTATAGATTTTTTCAGTTCCCCTTTGATTTTCAGAATGAATATTTCCAGATTGTCATTGGAAAAATGCTTGGTGAAGGCGCTTTTGGCGGCGTCTACAAGGGCTCTTTGACCATTAAGAAAAGGAAAATCCCGGTAAATTGAATTCTTGGAAGCTTTTCCCAATGGTTATTGATTCGAGGTCGCGGTGAAGGTGAGCAAAGGGAACGCGAAGATGAGCTCGAAGGTGATGATCGCCGAGGTTTGCAAGGAGGCCCGGATAATGCGCCACTACCAGCACATGAACATTGTCAACTTTTACGGGGTCGCCGTGGAAAAAGTCTCGATTTCCGGGATTTTCTGGGATTTATCTCCTTTTTGAGGAACCCATAATGCTTGTGATGGAGTTGGCCGACACCGGCGCCTTGGATTCTTACCTGAGGGGCGGCAATAATGTCACCTTACTCACCAAGGTGCTCTTTGAGTCTCTTAGATTGTTATTTTCTTTGAAATTGCAGCTCAAATATTCTTTTGACACGGCAAAAGGTCTGGAATACCTCCACCAGAACGGCTGTATCCATCGTGACGTTGCAGCGAGGTATTTCCGACTTATTCAAAATGAAAGAAACGCTCCAGAAACTGCCTTCTACATGCTGGAACCGTCAAGATCAGCGACTTCGGCCTTTCCAAGCAGCTCTCCGACCACGCCCACAAGTACAAGCTCAAGGTCCTCCCGCTGGAGTTCAAATCGAGCCGAAAATCTTCAGGACCTCCATCAGAAACTGCCGATCCGATGGCTGGCTCCAGAGGTCCTTGTCTCGGCCACGTATTCCTGCAAGTCTGACGTCTTCTCGTTCGGAATCTTGCTTTGGGAGGTTTACGGGATCTTTTTCGTTAGAAATACTTGTTTCAAAAAGATCTCACTGGAATCTTTAAAGGCGCATGAGGAAATGATATCGAGACGAAAGTTGATCTCTTGCTATTTTAAAGGATCTAACAAGCGACTTCTCCTTGTTTCAATTCTCCCATTCAGATATTCATGGACGGCGCGATACCGTACCCGGACATGACGCTAGGCGAAGTCAGCGCCAAAGTCAGGACCGGCTACCGTATGTCTCCGCCCGACCGTATGCCCAAATTCGTCCGCGAAGTCATGACAAATCAATGTTTCCCGCAGGCGCCGGAAGATCGCGGCAACATGTTTGAAGTTTGAACTATATACCTTTTTTTGGAATGAGAATAACTATTTCAGATCCGCGAAAGCATGGAAAACGTCATCGAACGACGGACCGTACCTTCTTCTGTTTATCAGTCCATCAAATACTGATTTTTTGACAAATGAAGATATTTCCAAAGAAAATGTGTACATAATGCCTATATCCTTACAATTTTTTTTAATAAACTTTTTTTTGAGGAATAATTTGTTACTACGGAAAGCTCCTTGAATATATTCTTGAAGCATTTGAAGTTTTATTCGATTCTAATTTCTTTGTCAATTTTTAAAGTTCTGTTTGGAATAAGCACCTTAAATATGTATGAAAAAGACGATTTATGCTGAAAAACAAATTTGAACGATTTTTGTTGGCTCATTTTTCTGAATTATGCTTAGGGGCTCCAGAGGGCAGCCTTAGGGTTCCTTGGAGGCTCCTCCGAGGACCGCAAACATTTCAAGAACTATTCTTCTAAAATTGAAAAAAAAAAACAAAAAAGGGTGAAAAAAATTTTGAGCGTGCAATAATGCGCCTCGGTGTGTATACACCCCAAGCACCATACCTTACGAAACTTTTTGAAAAAAAACGACGGGGTCCGTAGGGCGCACAGAGTTTTGAATTTTTTCCACGTTTTCATAAAACTCCCTCTGACGGAGTTATCACTATAAAATTTCTAATCTTTCCTAAAATAGTCATTTTTCGAAATTTCAATTTTCCTGGATTTATTTTTGTTTTGTAATTTTTTTGAAGAATGATAATTTTCCAAAAAAAAATCATCATTCAATTATTGAGTTTTATACTTTATGGAATTTTGTTCAGAAGTCTCACAACAGCGTTTTTTTGGCGACGACCTGCATATATTTTTTCGTGAAGTGTAATGTGTTGTGTGCATGCACCGCGGCGCTTTCGCACATGCCACTTCAAAGTAATTTTCGCGAAATTTGAAATCAGATCTGAATTTCTGAAGAATCAGCTGTAATTTTCACTCTCTGGTGGCTATTTTGAATTTCGCGGAATTACTTTGAACATAAAAAAAAGCCGTGCCACAAGCTTGTCCCATGGTTTGCAAGCCCATTAATCTCTATCTTTATTGTGAAAGAAAACAACGAGGTAAACCCTTCATTAAGAATTGAAATGAGACAAAAGTTAAGCCTTGACGATCTTGGAGCATTTGTAGAGGGCCATGTTCATCACCTGAGGTCCGTACCTGAGAGCGCAGCCCCATTGTTTCTTCGTGACACTCTGAAAAATGAATTTTCGAGTTTTTGAGCACTGTGATAATGGCCGAACCTTGTTGACAAACTTGGTGCAGACGTTTTCGATGTAGTCCTTGGTGATGGCGGCCTTGGCGACGCCGTAGACCTTCTGCATGCAGGTTTCCTGCTTCTGGGCGGCCGCCTGGGTGTTCGTCCTCTTGCAGTCGGCCACCGTATCAGCAATCTGAACCCAGAAACATCTGTAGAATTTTTATAAAGCATTTTTGTCTTTTTCTGGATCAAATCTTTCTGAAAATAGTCGAAAAGTCGGGAATTTCCTAATTTACAGAGTTTTCTCTTCAAAGACGCTATTTCATTGCAAGCTCTAGGGGCCCCTATAGCAGCTCGTAAAACCCTCTCTTTTGGCTCCTGAAACCGTGCCGCCCTTGCAAACAAGAGTGCGCGCAGATTGCATGAGAATTCGCAAAACCAAATTTTCAGTGCAAAAATTTATGCTTTTCGATTACTTTTAAATATTGTTTTCTCCTCTTATTCTTAATATTTTTCGTCTTTCTTTTCTGTTTTCGCATACTAAATGTTAAAATCATTATTTTTATAACAAAAACGAGAAGCTAGCTTGAGTTCGAAAAATAGGTCTGTGGTCCCTAACTATAGGATTTAGTGAACGATTTGCGCTCCCTCGGGCTTTGGTAACCCAAACTCGGACATTTCAAGTTCTGAAGCCACTGAAGGGATCACTAGAAATGCTCAGAAGCGTCCGGCTCGCGTTACCGAGGTACGAGCCTTCAGGGAACCCTAAAGGGATGTTAAGACTACTTTAGGGATCCCTTAGATAATCCGAAAAGCGAAAATGACACCGGCAGCTTCTCCTCTTGGTATAAGAGCAGAATCTCGATTTTCAATTTTTTTTTTTCTATAGAGCGCATATATCGCAGACTTTTTTGCCCAAAGTTGTTTTCTCTGTATTTTTTGGATTTTAGAAACAGAAGCAGCCCCCTTTGACCCTAAATATGTGTGGAAAAGACGCATTTTCCAAAAAATATCAAGTTAGAACGATTTTTGTCCGTAGGGCGCACATAATTTAGGTTTTTTTTTCACATTTTCATGAATTTGCCTCTGGCGTAGTTAAAGAAGCACTATTATAAAACTTCTAATCTTGACTAAAAAATCATTTTTCAGAATCAAAATTCCGAGTTTTTTAATCGGTGGATTCACTTTTTGTAAATTTTTTTTTTCTACAAGATTTTGGACCTCAAAACTATTTTTTCCCCCTTTTTCAAGTACCTAAGTCTCATCTGGTTACCTTATTCTGAAGAGCCAGGGTGAGCTGCTTGAATGGTGGGAAAAGGATTGGCGGCAGGTCCTCGATCTTCTGCGGGCTCAGGCAAGAGTTGGCTTAAAAGCTTGATTAGGCAATTCCCAGGTAACTCAGGTACCATTGTTGTAGAGGGAGAGGGCCTGGACCGCCTTGCTGCCTGAGTTGTCGATCACGCAGTTCTTGGCCTCTGAAGGGTTGAATTTTTGTCTTTTCTCTTTTTAGAAACTTCAGAGTGGTCCTTAGATGTTCAAAGTGATTCCGCGAAATCCGAAATAACCTTCAGAGAGTGGAAAAAATAACGGAAATCCGGAAATCCAGAGATAATTTTGAAATTCCTCAAAATTACATGTGCGAGAACGCCGCAGTGCATGCACACGACACACTACACTTTACGGAAAATATATGTACGTGGGGTTGTCAAAAAACGCCGTGTAGTTTTTACAGTTTTTTTCGACGATATAGTTTTTAGAAAACGTGTTTTTTTTTTCATCAATCCAAGACCGAAGTAGCAAGAACTATTAATGAACTATTAATAAAAGGTTATCAAACATTGCTGAAACGTACAATTACTTACTTTCATTCTACTCTTATTCGCCGGTCTCTTTACGTCAGAATTTTTCAAGCTTTATAGTTTTATTTGACTCATTTGATACTACGAATTTCAAGAATCTTTTTGATTTAATCTTATCGTAAAATTTCTTCCAGTAAAAAAAAGCTCACGGCGTCTTTGTTAATGGAAGAAAATGCGAAACCAAAAATCAAGAAGGCGGAGTCGAAAACTTCGTCGAGCATAAACAACAGGGAATATTAAAGGCGCATGTTCAATGGGTCATGAGACGAATCGATTTTCCATTCAAAAAACTCAATTTTTCTGTTCTGTTTTTTTAAAGCTTATGCAGTGTTCAAAGTGATTCCGCAAAAATACAAAATAGCCATCAGAAAATGAAAAATATAACTGAATTTCGGAAACCCAGAGATGATTTTGAAATTCCCCAAAATTACTTAAAACACGGCATGTGCGAGAGCGCCGCAGTGCATGCACACGACACACTACACTTTACGGAAAATATATAAGCGAGGCGTCGTCAAAAACGCCGTGTAGTTTTTACAGTTTTTTTTTTGACAGTACAGTGTCTTTTCTTTCGATATTATTTATCAATCAAAGACCGCAGCAACAAGAACTATTAATGAACTATTAATAAAAGCTTATCAAACATTGCTGAAACGTACAATTACTTACTTTCATTCTTCTCTCCTTTTCGGTCTTTTTGCGTTAGAATTTTTCAAGCTGTATAGTTTTATTTGACTCATTTGATACTACGGATTCAAAAAACGCATTTTTTTTTGTGTTGCTGTTTTCAAAGTGGTTCCGCGAAATTCAAAATAACCGTCAGAGAGTGGAAAATATAACTCAATTTCGGAAATCCAGAGATGATTTTGAAATTCCCTAAAATTACTTTGATGCGGTATGTGCAAGAGCGCCGCAGTGCATGCACACGATACACTACACTTTACGGAAAATATATGGACGTGGGATTGTCAAAAAACGCCGTGTAGTTTTTACAGTTTTTTTTGACAATATAGTTTTTAGAAAACGTCTATTTTCTTTTGATATTATTTATCAATTCAAGAGCGAAGCAGCAAGAACTGTCAATGAACTATTAATAAAAGCTTATCAAAAATCGCTGAAACGTACAATTGCATACTTTCATTCTTCTCTCCTTTTCAAGCTGTATAGTTTAATTTGACTCATTTGATACTACGAATCTCAAGAATCTTTTTGATCAAATCTTATCGTAAAATTCTTTCCAGTATAAAAAAAACCTAATGGTGTTTTTTTGTTAGTCACCCAGTTTTACGGACGAGGTCGCAGCGAGAGAAACGCTATATCGCGGGGAGCCGCGAGCTATATCGCTCGCCTCTCGGCGCAAGGTCGCTCACATCTCGCTGCTATGTCGCTCTTTCAAAAAAAATTTTTTTAGCTCGATTGGGCTCTTGATTTGCTTTCTATGCTTCATACTTTTATTGGGTTGTACATGATAACATATCGGTCTTTATCAACCTTCTTTACTTTTTATTTAATATAAACAATATATTTAAATGAAAACTTGAGAGCATTAAAGAAATTTCCAAATAATTGATGATACATTTTCGAATTCGAAGTAAACTGAAAGTATGTACAAATCTGAAGAAGATTGAATTGAGGCGAAAGAGTGAAGCTTCAAGTAAGAATAAAAAAAGGACAATATGAGGAAAAAAACATGTGTATCGTTTATTTTTTTCATAGGAAAAATGTGACTAGGAAAAAGAGTAGTTTCAATAAAAAAACAGAAAAAGTAAACCGATTGTAAGCTCGTAGATGATCTTTAAAAAGTTCAAATTAGAATAAAGGAGGGAGGCTCGAAATGAAAAATGAAAGAATTTTTTTGAAAAAGAAAATTAAGCTAAACAATCAGATTGACCCTAAGTTCCCTTTAAAAATGTTACTGTAAGCTTTGACTTGATAGTTTTCGGCATATCCTTCATTTGCTGCGTCAAGAACTTTTTCTAAATGATAAAACCGGTAAAAAGAGAAATACTGAAAAAAAGTCCAACCTTGAATAAGAGAATAACTCACAGGAGCGACTGTATCAAGACAGCAGTTCGTGCTTTCTCGAAATCATGCCTCATTTCTTCTTTTTCCTTACCCATCGACGCCAAAGTGCAAATCATATCTTCAAGCAAAAAAATGGATATACTGTTTCAAAAAAATAGTTTACCAAGAATCTTATTGATTGTATCCAAAAGCAAAGTTTCGGTGCCATCTCCCACGGATCTTTCTTGACTTTTATTGATCGAAAAATGTTAGATGTTTTTTTGAAGTACTAATAACCTGAAATTATTGGTTAAAACATGATGCGAAAAAAAGGACTTTCAAATTCAAGAAAGGTGTGCAGTGCCGTCAAAATATATACAAAAAAACGCTTTTTTAAATCACAACTTTCTTTAATGGGATTTCACCCTTTTGAAACTCTCTGGAAATATGATGACTGTTGATTGTAACACCGTGGTGAAAAACTTAGAAACACAGCTGAAAAAAAGTTTCAGAAAGATTGAGCTCTATACGAGGAAGTTGTGAGCGAAAAATATTTTTTTCCTCTTCTGACGGTACTGTATGAGCGTTACATTAGTTGTAAAATTAACATTTTAGAAATATTAAGTGAAAAATAGACATAAAAAAATCAGAGAGAATATAACACACGAAAAATTAAACAATTCAAGTAAAATTTTTGATGGCACGTAAATAGTGACCAATCGATAATCCGCGACCTCGCGCCGATATCGCGCCGGGAGTTTGCTAGAGCTGAGCGAGATGGCAGCGAGATATGTCGCTGCTATGTCGCGCCACTCTCGCTGCGATATAGTCCACGAAACTGGGTGGTGGAAGAGAATGCGAAACCAAAAATAAAGAAAACGGAGTCAAAGACTCCGTCGAGCGTAAACAACAGGGAATAGTAAAGGCGCATGCTCAATGGGTCATGAGACGAATCGATTTTCCATTCAAAAAACGCAATTTTTCTGTTCTGTTTTTTTAAAGCTTATGCAGTATTCAAAGTGATTCCGCAAAAATTCAAAATAGCCATCAGAAAATGAAAAATATAACTGAATTTCGGAAACCAAGAGATGATTTTGAAATTCCCCAAAATTACTTAAAACACGGCATGTGTGAGAACGCCGCAGTGCATGCACACGACACACTACACTTTACGGAAAATATATAAGCGAGGCGTCGTCAAAAACGCCGTGTAGTTTTTTTACAGTTTTTTTGACAATATAGTTTTTTTAGAAAACGTGTTTTTTTCTTTATCAATCCAAGACCGAAGTAGCAAGAACTATTAATGAACTATTAATAAAAGCTTATCAAACATTGCTGAAACGTACAATTACTTACTTTCATTCTACTCTCATTTGCCGGTCTTTTTGCGTTAGAATTTTTCAAGCTGTATAGTTTTATTTGACTCATTTGATACTACGAACTCAAAAAACGCATTTTTTGTGTTGCTGAAGGGTTTAATTTTTGTCTTTTCTCTTTTCAGAAACTTCAGAGTGGTCCCTATATGTTCAAAGTGGTTCCGCGAAATTCAAAATAACCGTCAGAGAGTGGAAAATATAACTCAATTTCGGAAATTAAGAGATAATTTTGCATTTTGCGAAAATCAATTGATACGGTATGTGCAAGAGCGCCGCAGTGCATGCACACCACATACTACACTTTACGGACATATGAGCATCGTCAAAAATAAAAGGTGGGAGTTAGCTGTAAGATGTTTTTGATATATTTGAACGGCCGTATATTTTTTTCATTAATTCAAAATCTTTTTTTTTAGATTGGTCATATTTTACTGATTTCAGAGCACTATTCTAAGAATTTGGCCCCATTTTAATGATGTAGAAAATCTTTTTTTTCAAATCATTTTTTTGACTCGGAATATTTGGATACTTATTGCATTCGATTACGTAAAACAAGGAATATTTTTGCTTTCCCCAAGGGAAGAAATTTTTAGGAACAAAGTTGTAGCCTTGCAATCAGAAACTCTACAACATTCTTTTTTCAAAATTTTCTTACAGGCCCTTATTTTTAAAGTTCCAAGACTCACCAGTGAACAAGGCGTCTCCGGCGACTCCATTGAAGTACGGCTTCTCAACGCACTTGGCAATCTGCCAATGGGGTTTTCTCTTCGGGAATGACCGGATTTGAATCATACCGTGACCATTTCCTGGGGTGTGTAGAAGGTGATGCCGAGAGCCTTGGCCTTCTGACACAGTTGTAACCGATTATCTTGGGCCGAAGTGAAGGCGGCGCCGATCAACAGCAGGGCGGCTAGCACGTACATTTTTCCCTGGAAGGACATTTTTGTTTTTTTTTTAGGATAAAACTTGGATTAGAAAGAGACAGGGAGATTGGAAGTTCAATTTTGAGAGACTTATAAGGGTCTATAGAATTTTTTTAAAGGAAAAAATTTGGAGACGTTTTTTTTTTTCATTTTGGAAGTGGATATGTTCTAGCAAGTGTATAACTGTTGCAAGGGAAGAAAAAAATTACTCAAAATTGAAATTTGAGGTCCAGAAAGGTGTGAGAAGCTTCCAGAAGGGAGGGAACTGATTAGTCGATTGTTTGACTTGATTTGATTGGAATCAAAATAGTTTCAACAGAAAAAACTGTACACAAACGTCGGGAAAACAAGCCCAAGGATCAAATATCGAATTTTTTTCATTTTGAGGCAAAAAAGATTCCGGTATGGCTTCACAAACAAAGGTTCCAGGATGAAAAAAAAAGAATTGGAACGAATTGACTTTACTTTCCTAGAATATCGCTGTTTTAGAAGGAAAATAAATCATACAGAAAGCTCACAATTCGTTTTTGACGGAGGAGCAAGGCGTAGAAAATTTGAAAAATGAAAAAAATCATTTGAAAAGGATCAAAGAGGTTCGAAAAAGTTCGAAAAGCTTCCAGCATAGGCAAAGTCGGAAGGACCCTCCGAGGGTCCATAAAGGACCATAGAAATGTTCCTTTTAGGGTGATGAAGGCTCTCTTTTTGCTGCCTTTTTGCTCCATTTTCTCAGCCCTTATGCACCATTTTTGCTGCCTCTCCCTTTCTCCACCATTTCTCGAGCCTTTAAAATCCCAGAAAAAGGGAAGGCTCGTTAAAGGGAGTTTTTTGCTGCCTTTCGCTGCCTTTTTGCTGCCGTTCGCTGCCTTTTTGCTGCCTTTCTGCGGCCTTTTTTGAGCCTCTCCCTTTTAGCAGCCATTATCCACCATTCCGACTTTGCCCGAGAGTTTAAAACTGATAACCTAGGAAGGTAAATTCGCAGGAACTTTCTATAAAACTTCCTTAAAAGTGGTTTTCTGTAAAAACAAGGACTGAAAAACAAAAAAAAAGGAAATATTACAAAAGTTTTTCGGCATATATTATATATTTTTTTAAGTAATAACCAGATTTTATTAATTTTTTTACAAGCTCTGATGGACAACTGAGCATAAAGAATACGGAAAAAAATTTGCAGAAAATCAAATAGAAAAACTCAAAGAAAAATATATATTTAATAAAAAGTTGATTCGAATGGAACCGAAAAAAAACCGAGTAGATCTTCCCACACACCGACGCTTTTTAAACCCGATCGCTAACCCTCGAATAATTGAACCTACAGTCGGCCAAATCCGATTGGTTTTTGTTCAACACCTGTAATGAGACGGGTTCCACCCGGAAAAAGGAGGTAATGTCATGTATTTCCTGTTGTGATCAGTGCTCAAGGTATTGGAAAAAAAGATTAGATTGGATTTTTTTCGAGGGTTTTTTTATTGATATATAAATTAGTTAATACTGGCCGATTGACTTGACAACTGGGATGATTGTACAAAAGTTTCAGTGTTCACTTAAGGGTTTTGACGTTCAAGTGGCCACTATAGCTCTCGAGTTAGTGAAGACACAGGAAATGCTGGAAAACAACTAAAAAGATTCCAAAGTTTTCAAAAAGACCATAAAAAAGTCGCTCTAAAGCTTTTCCCAAAGGTTTTCAGCTCTTCCTGAGTATCCCAAGAAGAACTTTCTCGTTTTACCCTTGATAAACCTTTCCAAAATTAGTCTTTTCCCATATCTTCAATTTCACATTCACTTTTTCTTCCGATTTCACTGAAAATTCTCCAAAATTTCCTTTTGTGATAAGATAAGCCTCATCAAACCGTGGTACACGTCATCTTAACTGATTATCACCTTTTTTATTTGCCACCAAGCCACTTCTTTTTTTCTGTTTCTGCACTTATATCAATTCGAATCAACGAAAATTCAGCTTTAAAAGGTGAGATTTCCATTTGAACCCTTTAGGGATACCTTCTGCAAACGCAGCGCACTTTCTTTGCATATTGCCACATGGTCAAGTTTTTCAATTCCTTTTGTTTAGCCAAATTTGTATCGTGGCTTTATCGATTCACCTTAATCGTTTGTGTAATCTTGTTGAATAGAGAGGAAGTTTCCACGAAATTGTAACAATTTTATTTTTCTGAATCTCTCTCGATGGATACATTTTTCATAAATGTCGAAGCACTTTTTTTCTTATTCAATTCCTTCTTCATTAAATTTATGTATTTCACATCATAAGTTATCAGCGGAAAAGTCAGTTATAGTTGGTGGGAATTTTGAAGAATTTTTGGAGATGGGAAAAAAATTTCACAAAATTTTGGTAATAAAATTTTTCTCGTTTTTTTCGAAATGTCTTTTTTTTTCGTTCATAAAATATTTTTTTCCAATGGAAAAATTTCCGTTGCGTTTGCATTTTGAGCTGATTTCCATTGAAAAAAAACTTGATAAGTAGTTAAGTTTTTAATTTTGTATTTTCAGGTTTTTTTTTTTGGTTTTTCGCATTGTCTGAAGTATGCCATTGTAAACTGCGTTTTAGACATTTTTTGATTTTTTCCCTTTTTTTCGTTTTGAGCTTCTTTCGTTTCAATTTATCACAGAGAAAATTTTTGTCACGTTTTTGGCCTCATTCTGTCTTATTCGGTTTTAGTTCATATTTATACAATTTGACGGAAAACGTATTTTTCAAATTTTTTTTGCCGATTTTTGAGCATCTTCGTTTCAATTTGCAGTTATCCATTTTCACAGAGAAAATGTCCATCTATTTTTTTTTGCCTCGTTTTAAACTCAACTCGTTTCAGTTAAAAATTATCCCATTTTACAGAGAAAATGTCCGTCAAGACGAAAGGCCTGACCGATCAGCTCTACGGAGTCGTCTCCTCAATTTTCCCCGGCGATTGTTTCGAACAACTGGTCCTCCAACACAACTTCTTCCATCGTATGTCATCTTCTGAACTCTGATTGGTCGAAATGGTTCTTTCGTTCAGCAACCTGCGGCAAAGCGGTTCTGAGCCGATTCCTCGGCCTCGCGATTACCGTCGGATCCGTTCTGCTCTTTGTTCCCCAAATTTTGAAGATTTATTCGGCTAAGAGCGCTAAGGTAATGGAGGATCAGTCATTGAAATGAAAATTTTATAGTTTTTGACAAAAAGAAAAAAGAAAATGATTTTTTTCTCTCGCAAGTACTCAATTGACTGAAAAAATGTAGGAGAATTAATTAATTTTTTTGAAACATTTCAAGACTTCATAAATTTATTTTTCATGCAAATTATGTATTTTAACAGTGTGTTTTAGGACTTAGTTTCATTGAAAAACGATGTTCTGTGAATATATTTTTTTATATTTTTAATATATTTTTTTGGTTAAGAGCGCCAAGGTAATGGAGGATCCGCCATTAAAGTAAAATTTTTGCAGTTTTTGACAAGATTCACTTGAAGAATTTCTATTAGAAGTTTTTAAAAACGTTATTTTTTATGGAAAGTTAAAATTTTAACAGTGCTATTTTAGGATTTCGTCCCATTAGGACGATTTTCTGGGATGATATTTCAGGTTTTAATAGATTTGTTCGGCTAAGAGTGCCAAGCTAATGAAGGAATCTTCATTAAATGAAAATTTTCAGTTTTTTTGACAAGATTTACTTGAAGAATTTCAATGAAAAAAACTTTATACACCTATTTTTTTATATGAAAACTGCGAAATTGGGTTCTTGTTTCATTTTTTTAAAAAAATTTTTCTGAGAAGATGTTACATAAGTAAATAAAAAAATAAATAAATAAATTTATCGTACAAACAGCTTTTTCTGTTCACTTTTTGCTATACAAAACTGCAATAAAAGGTCTTGAAGAGAATTTCGGTCAATATTAATATATGATCTTTTTGGCAGAAGAGAAAAACGGGACAAGTTTGTGTGAAACAGGGTATTATTACTTTGAACTCTTGAAAGTTATATTTTCCAGGGAATTTCTCTCATCTCCCAACTCCTAGCCCTCGTTGGAGCCGCCTCTACCGCCGCCTACAGTTATCGATCGAATTTTGTTTTCCCGTTGGTTTTGATGTATTTTTAAAGAAATTGAACTGTGATAAAGTCCCGGGCATTGCCCAAAAATATCCCGAGCAAGGCCCAGAAAGGAGGCAAAAAATGGTTCTAGAGCTCTTTTTCAGGTTTCTAAAAAAGTATCAAAAATTTCACTGAATTTTCTTTCACCGTTTTCCTGCCTTTTATCTTCTTTTTCGTTAAAAAGGCTCTTTTTAGTTGAAGGTTAAGGAAAAAGGTATTTTTTTATGTTCTTCTAGACTTTTTCCTGTTGTTTAAAAAAACTGTGTGAAGGACCTTAAAAAAAGCTTTTCAATCATTTTTATCAGGAAATATTTAAACTTAACGGCGTTCTTATGAAGAAAAAAACCTGTCAAAAAGTCTATCAAAGAAATTTAATTTTTTTGATATTTATGGAGATTTTGGAGATTTCAAAATTCGCTTTATGAAGTAATAAGCAATCTTTATAGAGATTTTTCGGAAAAAAAATGACGCTTCTATTCCATTTTTAGGCCTTAGATTGACATCAGTTGCTTGAAAGTTCTCTTTGTAATCCATAAGATCATGGAATTGAACCATGGTAACGTTTAAAAGCTGCCTAAAACATGATTTTGACAATTTCAAATCATTTTTATCAGAAATTATTTGATTTTTACGAGGTTCTCTACTAGAAATCCAGTCGAAAATCCTTTCGAAAGAATTTTTTTTTTTTGATGTTCATGAAGAATTTGATGAATTTTTTGTTTAGAAATCAGACATTTATAGAGGATTTTGGAAAAAAATTTCCATTTTCATTCCATTTTTTTAAGCTTAAGTTGACATTCCTTGCATGAAATTTTTACTCAAAAAAATTCAGGAAATATCTTTAAAATTCATAAAGTTCTGGAGTTGAGCCATGGTAGAGTTTAGAAGCTGTCTAAAAAAACATGATTTTTGACAGGTTTTTTTCAAATTTGTTTCATCAAAAAAATCCTTAATTTTATATTTACTCACCAGCAGCAGTTGACCCATGTTCATTCAGTTTTTTTTGAAAATTTGCCGCTTTTGTTCAAATTTTGAGCCCTACTGGAAAAATTTTTAGTGGTCACTCTAGAGCCTCGCCAAGAACTACTTGGATAGGACACTAAAGTGGCCACTAAACCGACCTCTATAGTCGCCACTATTTTCTGATTTAGTGGCCACTGCAGTAGTTTTTCATCCAGTTTTCCTTCCAGTAACTCTGATAACTTTAAAACAAACAGATCGGACCAGTTATGTTGATCCATTGACCCCTAAAGTGGCCACTAAAATTTTAAGTGGTCTAATAGTAGCACTTGGACCTCTATAGTGGCCACTTATTTTTAACTCCTTGAGTGGCCACTAACTTGACTACTACAGTGGCCTCTAAAACGTCAAAACCCAATAGTGGCCACTAAAATTTTTCTCAAAATGCAATTTTTCAACCTTCCAGACAATGGGGCGACACTCTTTTCGTCTCGATCCAAGTTGTCATTATCATCCTCCAGATTTTGTACTACCAAGGCGCTTTCTTCTCTTCGGCCATCTTCTTGGCTTTCGTGTAGGTTTTTTTTTTCTTACAATACAAATTAATTTCAAATTCTTCATTTATTTTTCAGTTCTTCATCAGTTTACGCCGTCGTTAACGGCTTGGTTCCCATGGAAGCCCTGACGGGCCTCCAAGCTGCTGGAATTCCGATCGTTTTCATCAGCAAAGTCGGTTTTTAGTGGAAGATTTCGACAGAAAATTGACAGTTACCTCAGAAAAGTTAGGGATTTTGGGATAAAATTGAATTTTTTGGTGGATTTATGCTAGTTTTTGACACTGGAAAGTGGTAATTTTCGATTTTGAGACTGTGTGATTTTCCAATTCTCTGAATGATGAGAATTATGATGAGAAATTCAGAAAATTTGTAGATTTTTGTCGGTTTTTAGGCTGAAAATGAGAAAAATATTCAAACTTGTATAGAAAACTGTGAATTTTTCAAATTTTTTTACAGTGAAAAATTTATTCCTTTCTTCAATAGAATGTCCGAAATAAATCATAATTCAAAAAATAATCATTTTTCCATTTCTGCAGACCCTCCAATGCCTGCAAAACTACAGAGAAAAGAGCACCGGCCAGCTTTCTCTCATTTCCGTTTTCTTGCAATTTGCAGGTTAGTTAGGACCCTTTTAAAGGTTCCGACTTGTGGAACTATTGATTTTAGTTCAAATTTGCATGGGTTGCTGTTTTAGAGTTAAAAAATGTTAGACTATTCCAAGCCAATTTGTAAAGATTTTGTATCTCTTCCGAGCTACTGAACCCTTCGCTTCGATGCGCGTAGCCTGTCTCTAAGCATGCGCCTTTATTTTAGCCTAAACCGTTTTATTAAAGGCGCATGCAGAGAGGCAGGCCGCGCGTACCGAAGAGAAGGGTTCTGTAGCTCGCAGGAAGATAAAGCTGCTGCAAAACGGGCTATAGTCTGTACAGATTTTGAATTTAAAGTCAATGCTCAAACTCCGCCCCTTATGCGTAGATCGAACCAATCAGAGCGCGAGCTATTCATAGAGCGTTTTTGAGGGCGGGGTTTGCTGCTTGACATCGCCTATATACGACAAGCGCGAGTTTTCCGTTTCCGAAGAGTACGGTATGTGAAATTCTGCATTCTGTGGGGTGCACTTTCTCTGATGCAATGAGGTTGTAACCAGCAGCGAACCCCGAAAAAGTGAACTTTTCGTTGATTTTTTCGTTGCACCCCCGTTGGAGATGGAAGGTGTGCACCTCTGGTGTCTCTAATAAAAATTGGGTTGTAACCAGTAATGAACCCCCCTCCCCCCCCAAAAAAAATTATATTTACGTTGATGCTTTTCGGTGCACCCGCGTTAGACATGGACGGCGTGCACCCCTGGTGCCTCTGATAAAAAAATTGGGTTGTACCTCGCAGTGAACCCCCCCTCCCCCCAAAAAAAAATATTTATGTTGATGTTTTCGGTGCACCCGTGTTAGACATGGACGGCGTGCATCCCCGGGGCAATCGGTCAAAAAAAAAAAGATTCTTTGAGCTACCGTAATGACTAACTCTAACAAAAGTAGCGGCGCACCCTGTCTGGAATCCCCGGTTCCACTCCGGGGTGCACCCCGTTTAGCTTCAAATGCCTATTAAGGTACTTCTTCCGTACACGATTTCGAAGGGGTTTTTTCTAATTATCACCATTTTCTACAATTTCTTCTTAGACTTTTAAAGTCTGTTCAGATTTTGAATGTAAACTCAAGCTCCGCCCCTAATGGTGCGATAAACCAATCAGATAGCGAGCCATCCACAGAGTGTTTTTGAATGACGTCATTGCACTTGACATTAAGAATCTGAACAGACTATACGGTAGCTCAAAAAGACTTTTCATTTTCGACCAGTTGTTCCAAAGGTGCACGCTATCCGGGTCCAACGCGGGGTGCACCGGAAACGTCAATTGATTCTTATTTCTTTAATGAATCATAAAGGATGGTTCCATTTCAATAAAGCTCAAAATCGAAATAGAAAAAAAAAACGCGAGCATGGACCCCTCGGAAGCGTCACGCAACAAAAGTGCAAACACGCAAAGTGCACAACTCGAAATGCGGACTTTCACCTACAGTACTCTTCGGAAACAAAACCCTCATTTTTCGTCTCACCCAACAGTTAAAAACATAGAAAATCAGCACATTTCCAGGAACATTGGCCCGTGTGTTCACCTCCGTCCAGGATACCGGTGATCAGCTTCTCATCATTTCGTATGGAAGTGCCGCCGTCCTCAACGGCCTGATCTTCGCCCAATTTTTCATTTACTGGAACTCGACCAACGCCAAGAAGAAGTTCAATTAAATCCGGATTTTCGATTTTTTCAAAGTTTTTGTTGGGTTTTACGACAGAATAGCCTCGAATAAGGGCGGAAGGACTTTTTACTAGATTTATTGTCATTTGAGCGCACAAACCTTATTTTTTCATAGTTTTTGGCTATTCTGTCATTTGTTATTAATAAAGATGATTACTCATTCCGATTGTACCTTTATTTCCTTTGTTGTGTAGATTTCATCCATACGGCTTATATTTATTTTCTTGGATAAATTATTATTTATTTTTTTTGAAAGACTTTTTTGTAGAAAAATCTTCACTAAAGTTTTTTGAGAAGTATGGAAAATGGATATATATTATCTCGATTCGAGAAAACGACAAAAAAAGTGCGGCGGAAGATTCTCGTGACGCGTTCAATGTCCAAAGAACGTTGACAGCGGAGCAGGCGCCAATTCTTACGGTAGGTCGCCGTCAGACCCATTTTTTTCAACCTTAATGAATCTTTTTGCAAAGGTAAAGTGTTCATTCTCGTTTTTAGTCTACTTCAAATGCGATTTGTAAGTTTTCCTCTTCAAAATGTCGATTTATAAAACGTTTTGAAGCTGTTGAAATCGCGTCAATTTGGTTGCATCTTTAAACTCATCCATGACGTTTTCCGGGAGCGGGTCGGCTGAAAAATGCTCTAAATTTTTGGTGAGTTATTTTAACGAATCTCTCTTTTATATAGCATAGCTCTCATTTGAAAGAATATTTCATTATTTTTGCGCTTAAAGCGCGCCATGAATTGTGGTATGGCGCTTTCTTTGTCACACCGTTTTAGTCGCTTTTGAAAATTTTCGATTATTTTTTTATTTGTAATCGATTTCCAAGTGTAATAATGTTTCTATCTTCATTAATGAGCTCATTTCGACTTAATTGAGTCAATAACTGCCGAAGTTTTGCATTGCAGGTTTAAAAATTTTCTACATTTTGTCAAATTTTCTATTTTCTTCATATTATCTCTTAATAGTTTTCGCATCTCTTTTTTTTAGCTTGATTATGTTTTTCTTTTCTTTTTTTTCTAAAATATCTGCCCCGCATTCTACCAATCTCTCAATTTTCTTCTATCTTCATTTGAATTATTCGATTACTAGAGGTTTTTGCATTTGATGTCTTCCTTCCAGATTTAACTAGTTTCTTTTTATTGTCCAATGTTAAATGTAGGTCAAATTTGCTTTTTTCTGGTTATAAGGAAGTGTTGAACCCAGAAATTGAAGTCCTAGACTTATCAAATTAAAAAAATTTCATTCTTCCTTTTCTAAGCTTTTTCTTGTACTTGAAAAGAAGTTTTAGTTGAGTTAGTGAAGGGGTTTTCATAGAAACAATGAAAAATTCGAATCGATTTTTTGGTTTTTCTCATGTGAAGTTTAGTTAATTTTCTGAACAATATTTTTTTTTCTATTCACTTCCATTTGGAAGGGCCGAGTGAGAAGATATAAAAATCTCGTTTTTAAATGCTTTGATTAACGGAAAGCTGTTAATTTTTCATCATTTCATCAATTCTTCGGTAATTTCGGTTTTCCTGGCCTTAATGTATAACTCAAGTTTGAAAGTTTTCATCTTCTAGTTTTAAAAGATAAATCGCGTTGAAAAGCCTCCCGCAGTTTCGGCTTTTTAGTGTTACCATCCTTTACAAAAGAAAATGTAGGTCACGAAAAACAAACAATCATTTTTTGAAACCTTTTTTGGCTAATGACCCCGAGGCAATTTGTTATCAAGATGATGGCGCGAAATTTTGAGGCTGTACTCCAGAAACCTCTCAGTTTTTTTTCTTGTTTTTTTTAATTCAACGTCAGTGGAGAGATTCGAATTTCTAATTCAAATAATTGTGCTCCTTTCCATACAGCCTGTTCAAAGTTGGCTCAGAGCTCGAGAAGACGTGGTACTGACTCACGGCTGGCTTGAGCTATCGGAAAAATAATTTTTTTGAATTTTGAAGTTCACGTTAGTTCCGTCTAACATTTATCATTGTGAAACGTTTTCCTCAACAAAAAATCCTCTTCTTCTCCTTCTCTGAAACTCATTTCTGTGGATCACTCTCAACTCATTTGACAGCACAAGGCTTGAAATGAAGACTTCAGGAGTTTCCTCATATCAGAATAAATTTACTAGAAAAAATGACAATTTTCGCTCTTTCTTTATTATTATTGATACTATTCTTGCTTACTCTCATGTTGGTGAGGATAGACCAGCCGTGCTAACAAGGGGTTTTAACGGGTATAGTCTGTTCAGATTTCAAATTTCAAGTGCTCGCTGAAGCTCCGCCCCCTAATGGTGCGATAAACCAATCAGAGAGCGAGCCGTCCACAGAGCGTTTTCGAATGACGTCATCCTACTTGACAATTAAAATCTGAACAGACTATACCCCCGTATTCAACCTGCTCAGGCCCAGCTGGTTGAACATTCGGCAATTATGACCCCTATTCTCTATTTATTATTTGTTTCATCAGTTTTAAAGTTTTGAGCATCGAAAACTTTGTGATTTTGAATTTAAACAAGCTTAATAGTCGATAAAACTTTCCGAAACCTTACGACATCATTTTTTTTTAAACAGTACTTTTTGTGATTCTCTGGAGATTTTATACTAATCCATGGGAACTTTCAAGATTTTTTTTCGTGTTGATCAAAGCTTCATAGTCTGTTCAGATTTTTAATGTCAAGTGCAATGACGTCATTCGAAAACACTGTGAATGGCTCGCTCTCTGATTGGTCTATCGCACCATTAGGGGCGGAGCTTGGGCGACGACTTGACATTCAAAATCTGAAAAGACTTTATGTTGATAGCTGCTGTATTTTAAATGGTTTTCGTAGTTTGATTTTTTGTTTCAAACTGTATGAGAGCTTTTCGAAAACGCTAATTTAATTTTTCGATTGAGCTCATACTTCTTTTTTTTGCCGAGTTTTTATCTTTCTGATGCCGTGTTCAAAGTAATTCCGGCGATTTCAAAATTAACGCGTTATTCGTTCAAAATGATTTCGGCAAATAGGCAGAATTATTATTCCGGGAAGGTGCGTCCTACAACGATATATCGTTTTATATGCCTTTTTACTGTAACTTCTGCGCGGGAATTCAAAATTTTGGAGTTTTTTGGGCATTTTCTACTGAAATTTCAAATTCGCGCGTAAAACTCACCGTAAAAATGCGTATCCAACGATATATCGCTGTAGGACTAACTTTTTGTGTCACTTCCCGGAATATCAATTCTGCCTATTTCCCGAAATTATTTTAAACGAATAACGCGTCTATTTTTAAATCGCCGAAATTACTTTGAACACGGCATGAGATTTTTTTCTTTAATAAACTTGGCAGGGTGGCGCAAATCAGCTTTTTTTCGTGATATTCAATTTTTTTTTTTTTTTGAACTTTCTCCTATCTATCTTTTTTCTGTAGATCCGAATTCAGGTAATGGCTTTGATGCGATTGTCGGGAGGCCATCCTGATCCTCGTCCGGCGTTTTATGAAATCTCTCAATTTTGTCACCAAATTTCCAAACAAAGACAGGTCTTTTTTATTTTTGCGACTAGAAAAACATTTTTTTTCAGAATGCTCTCGACGCTGGCTTGTATTACATGTCGATTCCTTTCGATGGCTCCCAAATATATGATTGTTTGAGGGAATGGGAAGCTTTGCTGCAGGTTTGAATAACGTAGAAAAATGACTTTTGAGATTTTCTGTGCATTTGTTGTTTCTAACCTGCAATTTCCAGTGATTTTTTGAAAAAAATGATTTTAAAGGACATAATTTTCATTAAGTGTTTGGGAACCCCGTTTTGAAAATTTTTTAATTCTCATCCTACACGGCTGGCTTGGGCGGGTGGCACTCTCTGCGCCCTCCCGAAATCACAAAGTATTTTTAAATCGTGTGAAGACCCATCCTTGTACAAACTCAAGCAAACCATTTATCGACTGGAGTGAATTTTAAATTTTTAGAAAAAAATATCTTTTTCTTACACAAAGTTTGGTGTTTCAAGGAGTTGTCAGATACTCTGAACTGAATTTTTCTCTGCCTCTTGCTATTTCGTCGTTTTCTCACTGTCAGAGACTAAAGAAATAGCAGGCGGCAGTGAAACTCTCGCGCGCGCCTTGAGGCGCTCAAGCTCGGAGTACTTGGACGTGTCCGAGCAGTTCTAGTGACCCCTTTAGAAGCAACACCCCTCTTAAGTGATCCCTAGAACTGTTGAGACGCACCAGCCGAGTTGGAGCATTTCTAGTGAACCCCTTTAGTAGCGTCAGCACAATTGAGGGATCCCTAGAATTGCTGAGACGCCCCGGCCGAGTTTTAGCATTTCTAGTGACCGCTTTAGTAGCCTCAGCCCTTCTAAGTGATCCCTAGAATTGCTGAACCACGCCCCGGACGAGTTTTAGCATTTCTAGTGACTGCTTTAGTAGCGTCAGCGCTCTTAAGTGATCCCTAGAAATGTTGAGACGCGCAATGGCCGAGTTGGAGCATTTCTAGTGACCCCTTCAGTAGCGTCAGTACTCTTGAGGGATCCCTAGAACTGTTGAGACGCACCGGCCGAGTTGAAGCGTTTCTAATGATCCCTTTAGAAGCGTCAGCACTCTTGAGTGATCCCTAGAACTGTTGAGACGCACCGGCCGAGTTGAAGCGTTTCTAGTGATCCCTTTAGAAGCGTCACCCTTCTTAAGTGATCCCTAGAAATGTCCAAAAACGTCCGGAGCCTTTCTAGTTTTCGTTATCAGATTCCGAAGTATACACTCATAATCGTGACTTTTTGAAGAAAATGGTGGGACGCGGAGCGGAGGTGATGCGAGCCATGAAAAATCTGGTGGAAGGAAAACTGGAACCGACGTCGCAGTCCTCACCGCCCACGATGCACTCCACGAGTCCCTCGTGCCCAGACCCGAGCATTAGTCCGGCTCCCAACTACAATGTGATGCCCTATTTCCCGCGCCACATTCCGGCCATCGAACCGCACTCCGACAGGGTTTGGCTAGAACATTTTGTGCACATAGGCAAAGTCGGAAGGGTGGAAAAAGGCTCCATAGAAATTTTCTCTTTTTCAGCCTTTTTGCGCCATTTTTTCGGCCCTCATGCACCATTTTTGCTGCCTCTCCCTTGGCACCATTTTTCGAGCCTTTGAAGTTCTAGTAAAAAAAAAGTCTCTATAAAGGGACTCTTTTTGCGACCGTTTTGCTCCCTTTTTACTGCCTTACGGCGACCTTTTTCAAGCCTCTCCTTTTTATCGGCCATTATCCACCATTCCGACTTTGCCCGAAATGGCGCGCTCAGAGTTATTTTTGAACGATAGATCATGGGTATAAAATGACGACAGAAAAGTCCGAAAAATCCATGTTTTGTTGCCCCAACGCACCTGCTTCAGGCTGAAGGGCCTGGCCCGGGGTTTAGGCCCTTGTTTTTCATGAAAAGCCCGCGAAGGCCAAACATAGAATAAAATGTTCGAATTCCATTGAAGAATTTTAAGACCTTTTAACGCAAATCAGACGTGCGGGGGAATTTCTAGTGACCGCTTCAGTGGCGACAGAGCGCTTAAGTGATCCCTAGAATCGCCCAGAAACGTTCGGAGCAAGATTTTCTTCACTGACGTCCGAGTCCAAACTTGAAACTTTCACCGAAAATCACTTTTGACTTGTTAGACATAGTTTTTGTTGATATCAAAGTGAAAAAAAGACCGAAAAAGTGATTTTTGTTGTAGATAAGTCTGATATTTACGTGGAGAAAGTTTGTGCTTCATGGACCGGGCTGGCCTTTTTTGCTTGAGGCCCAGCTGGCCTTTTATTTTACGGTTAGGATTTCCCTGAAAATTGGCCAGTATACTTTTTGAGAAACCAAAAGAAGATCCTGAAAGTGTCAACCTGAAAGAATTACTTTTTTTTTTTTTGAAAGAACACCTCGAAGTCCGTTTAAATAGGCCATTTTGGGGCTTCGAGGCCTCAGACAAGACTGCTAATTTTCCATTTTTCCAAGTTCCCGGATCGCATATTTTTTGTATAATGGGCTTACTATGAGCTAGCTCTATAAGTCAAACTCTAGTAATAATCTTTAGGATCTGCCGAAAAAAGGGAAAATCAAAAGAAACCCAGAGAAGCAGGTGCGTCACGGACACCGAAATTGGGATTTTTGGTTGTCAGTTTGTGCCCGAACCCCCTATAAATAGTATGATTCAAATTACTTTGATCGCGCCATATAAATTGAATTTCTTCACTTGGAGAGATGTAAGGGGTCCAGAGGAAATGTTTAGCACAAAAATGTCATAAATTGGATTCACCCCCGCCCCATGAAACAAAAGAAAATTTCTGTTTTACTACAGCTGACGTATGCTTCGGAATATGGGCACAGCGGAAACGATATGCTCAGCGGACAAAGGAAGGATATGAACGAATCGGTAATCTTTAATGTATGCATTTATTAAGTTGCCCTTCGAATTTTAATACGATTTTTGCGGAGAACGTACCTAAGCTTGAAGGAATACCTTAAGCTTATCGCGTTTTGCTCCAAGCTCTCAGAGACAAACTAGTTTGAAACCAGACCCTTGGATTTGCCTCAGATAGTACCCCCCGCTCATGTAGATAGAAAAAGTCATTCAAGATTAATTAGCAGCCCTAGAGAGAACCCTTGAGTCTGATTGGCCTGGTGGGTCAACTTAGCTTTGGACGTGACATAATAGAACTATTCGCGACTGGTCAGGCAGATTTTTTTTTTCCAGGAAACGACCTATAAGTCAATCGAAATGAACGTCTCCTCGGGACCCGTAACGCCAAGTTACGGGATCAGCCCGCCGTCCTTCCCCTTGATGGACATCAACTCCTCGAATCAGGATGCCTTTGATGTATGCGTCGTAATCCTGAACAATAACTATTATTTTTATTGTTGTCTTTTTTTCTACAGCTTGTCACGATTTCTGCTTCCCATCGAGTTACGAAACTCTTTTCTTTGATGTGTACGGCCTGTCTCTGTGCATGCGCCTTTAATTTAGGCTAAAACTTCCGTTTTATTGAAGGCGCACCATCGCAAATATGCTCCAGAACCCTTCCGGGAAGCTTCCCTTCGATGCGCGCGGCTTCTTTGTGCCTATGCGCTTTTAATTTACCCAAAAGCTGCCGTTTTATTAAAGGCGCATGCACGGAGACAGGTCGCGCGCATCGAAGGGACGCTACAGAACCCTTCCATCGATGCGCGCGGCTCCTTTCTGCGTATGCGCCTTTAATTTAGCTCAAAAATTTAAGTTATATTAAAGGCGCATGCACAGAGACAAGTAACGCGCATCGAAGAGAGCTTTCTGGAAGATTGGGCCGCGCACCATCAAAAATATGCTATAGAACCTTTTCGCGAAGCTTCCCTTCGATGTGTACGCCCTGTCTCTGTACATGCGCCTTTAATTTTTTCGATTCGTACGGCCTGTCTCTGTGCATGCGCTTTTATTTTGGCCTAGAACTTCCGTTTCATTAAAGGCGCATGCACAGAAACAGGCGGCGCGCATCGAAGGGACGCTACAGAACCCTTCCGAGAAGCTTCCCTTCGATGCACGCGGGTTCTTTGTGCCTATGCGCCTTTAAGTTACCCAAAAGCTGCCGTTTTATTAAAGGAGCATGCACGGAGACAGGCCTCGAGCATTGAAGAGAGCTTCCTGGAAGGGTTCTGTAACATCCTTTCGTTGCGCGTGACTTGTTTCTGTGCATGCCGCCTTAAAAATAATGGTTATTTCAGAATAATTTAAAGGCGCATGGGCGGAGACAGGCCGTGCACATCGAAACTATGCTACAGAACCCTTCCGGAAAGCTTCTTATCGATGTCTACGGCTTGTCTCTGTGCATGCGTCTTTAATTTTGCCTAAAAATTCTGTTATATTAAAGGCGCATGCACGGAGACCAGCCGCAAACTATCCAAAATATGGTATAGAACCCTTCCAGGAAGTTTCCCTTCGATGTTTATGGCCTGTATCTGTGCATGCGCCTTTAATTAGGCCAAAAAGTTCCGTTTTATTAAAGGTGCATGCGCAGAAGTAGGCCGCGCGCCTAAAAAGGAAGGATTCCGTAGGTAAAAAATCGGGAAAAGCTGGCGCGGGATGCACTCAAATAAGGCATAGGGAAGACTGATCGAATAATTTAACGAAGAAAAAATCTTAATTTAGTCTAAAATGCCGCTTTCCAAGCTATGTTGAGAAGTTTGACGGTGCGCGGCGAATACCATAATGAGTTCTTGAGTGTACTTCTCAAAATGGATCGAGGGTATCTGATAATATATTCACATGAGATCTCCAGTATCTCTTTGAGCTCCTTCGGTATACCTAAAGTTAATCGCGTTTTGCTCAAAGCCCTCAGAGGTATAATCGTGGCACCATTTTTTGAAATCAGACCCTTGGATTTCACCTCTGGTAGTGTCGCGACATGTAGTTAGACGAAATCATTTCAGATCAATTAGCAGCCCTAGAGAGAACCCTTGAGTCTGATTCGCCTGGTGGGTCAATATAGCTTTGAACGGGACGTGATATAGCTGATTCACGGCTGGCTTGAGCTATCGAAAAAATGGTCCTGACACGAAAATGCACGAGATAGCGCCTGGCTGGTGGAGAGCGCAGACAGGCCACGCCCCCTTAGCGTTCCAAGCTAGCCGTGAATCAGCTATAGAACTATTCGCGACTGGCCAGCCAGATTTTTTTTTTCCAGAAAACGACCAATAAGTCGATCGAAAGGGAACGTCTCCTCGGGATCCCGTAACGCCAAGTGCCGGGATCAGCCCGCCGTCCTTCCCCTTGATGGACATCAACTCCTCGAATCAGGATGCCTTTGATGTATGCGTCGTTATCCTGAAAAACTATCATTTTCATTTTCCCATGTCTCCTCATTTTTTCAGTATTACTGTTTTTATGTTCCACAACTTGTCACGATTTCTCCTCCGAGCTCTTCTCTCCACTGTTTCTGTGCATGCGCCTTTAAGTACAGTTATATTAAAGGCGCATGCAGAGAAGGCTGTACAGTTTTGGTCTTTCAGAAGCTCAAATTATTACTTTCGAGCCAAACGGCTTGTGAAATTCTTCTGGAAAATTCTCTTCGGTTCGAAAACTTTTTTTTTACTTTCCTGTAAGACCACTTTAGCTGATTCACGGCTGACTTGAGCCATCGAAAAATGGGTCCTGACACGATAATGCACGAGATAGTGCTCTACTCGTGGAGAGCGCAGACAGGCCACGCCCCCTAGCGTCCCAAGGGAGCCGTGAACCAGCTATAAGTCGCAAATTTAAGATTTTCAATGTGTCTCGAGCTGTTTCACGGCTATCTTGGGACGCTGGTGGGCGTGGCCTGTCTGCGCTCTCCAAGAGTCAGGCACTATCTCACACATTATCGTGTCAGGACCCTTTTGCCAAAAATTTAGCTTCAGTCGCGATTTTTTAAGAGGTAGTTGCGCCCTTTTTCTAGTAAAACGAATTTTTCTTTAAATATATAACTTGTTTTTTTCCAGAGAATCCCCACGAGAAAGTCGACAGCTGGGTCCATTTCACCTCCTACTAGAGGTTGAGAAGAATAGTTTGAGCTCGAATAAACTTTTGACCGATTTCCAGCCGCTTCTCAATTCACCGGCAAGCGATCGTCACCCCATCAGGACCTGACTTCAAAGGTAGATGTTTTAAAAAAAAATTCTTATCGTTTTTCCAGTATGGACACTCTGGCGAACGAAGTTCAATGTTCACCGGGCCTCCGCGGGCGAGATCGGCGTTCCCACATAAAAATCTAAGGGTGAGAAAAGCTCCTTTTTTGCTGCATTTTTGTGCTATTTCGTCGGCTTTCTTGCACCATTTTTGCTGCCTCTCCCTTTTTTCACCATTTCTAGAGCCTTTAAAATTTTAGAAAAATGGAAGGCTCGACAAAGGGACTCTTTTTGCTGCCTTTCTGCAGCCTTTTTGGTGCCTTTCTGCGGCCTTTTTGGTGCCTTTCTGCGGCCTTTCTACGTCTTTTTTTGAGCTTCTCTTTTTTTGCGGCCATTATCCACCCTTTCCGACTTTGCCCGAGTAGAACGGGGTGAAATTTGGACTAATTTCTATTGAATATTGATATTTTATTGGAAAATTTTCCCTTTTTTCAATCTATGTTTACTTATTCCATTCAAGGCGTAGTTTGTTACACACACGAGCGGAAATATCCTTTTATTTGGGCGATTTTAAAACTGACGCGTTTTTCGATCAGAATGGTTTCGCGAAACCGGGATTTCGGAAGCCCTTGAAAAAAATTGCGTCTTAAAACGATATTTCGTGATTTAGTGGCTTTTACGGTGAATTTTGGGAACCCTTGAAAAAATCGGGTCTTAGTACGATATTTCGCGATTTAATGGCTTTTACGCGGACTTTTACGGTGACTATTAAGGTGACTTTTACGGATAGTTTTACGGTGACCATTATTGTGTCAATTACTCTGTCTTTTTCGGTAACTATTACGCTGACTATTATGGTGACTTTTACGGTGGCTTTTACGCTCTTTTACGCTAAATTTTACGCTAACTTTTACGCTAACTTTTACGCTGACCTTTAGGCTGACTTTTACGCTAAATTCTACGGTAGCTAATACGGAGAGTTTTACGGGGACTTTTACGGTGACTATTACTGTGTCCACTACTAATTCTTTTACGGTAAATATTACGCTGACTAATACGGAAAGTTTTACGGTGACGATTGCTGCGTCAATCACTCTGTCTATTACGGCGACTCTTATGGTGACTTTTACGCTAAATTTTACGGTAACTAACATGGAGAGTTTTACGGTGACTATTACTTTGTTCACTACTATTTCTATTACGGTAAATATTACGCTGACCTTTACGCTAACTTTTACGCTAAATTCTACGGTAGCTAATACGGAGAGTTTTACGGGGACTATTACTTTGTCCACTACTATTTCTATTACGGTAAATATTACGCTCACCTTTACGCTAACTTTTACGATAAATTTTACGGTAGCTAATACGGAGAGTTTTACGCGCGAGTTTGAAATTTCCGTTGAAAATGTCTCAATAATTTCAAAATCCAAGAGTTGTGCGCGTAAAAGTCATTTATACTCTGGAAGCTCAGTTCGATCAATAAAAATAACTCATCTGTGTGAAACGAATTCAAAAAAAATTTCAGATAGTCGAAGACCACAATTACGCAGAAATCGCTGTTGAAGATGAAGACGAGGTCTCGTTGGAGGTCCAACATCCCCATTCGACAAGTACGCCCCAACGCAACAAGAAGACCCTGTTCCCTCGCGGCCAGAGCACCATGGTGGACAATAATCCGGCTGATAAGATCTTCAACAAGGCCAACATTTTCATGGGCTATGAGCTTGTGAGTTTTCGCCCTTCTGGAGTGGTTTCTTAAGGGGAAGGATCCGAAAAATGGGATCTAAAGGCCTTTATTTCCCCATAATGTTAGTTTCATACATGGTCCTTATAATTTTCCCTTTTTTTTGGAATTTTATAAGTCTGAAAAGTAAATTGAACGGAAGGCTACCTAAAATCAAGTTTGAGCCTCAAAAAAAAAGTATAAAAAAGTCAAATTTTCGCGTTTTGAGCCCTAATGTTCATATAATATCACGCGCAAGTCGTTTTTGGTCGGACGCGATTTAAATCTGATCTACTTACGTTTTTTTCATGAAGAAAAGACAACTTTTTTTTTCATCCCTCACGGATTTTTTAAAACGTTCTTTGAGCACCATAACTGAATAAAAAGACAAAATCCTCTTCTTGAAGGAAATGAGAAATTATAACCTTCACTTTTATTCACATATTCTTCAAATTAGCAGACGAATAAAAAGGAACGTAAACATCCAAAGAGAAAATTTCTTTCTTTTAATTTTGAAATGAAACGTAACGCTCCCTGGTCGGTATGACATAGTCTTTACGTTTAGTTAAAAAATTCTTTAACAAATTCATTTAATATTTTTTATCGGTAATCTTTAAAGCTTAAAAGGAAATACCGCAAACTGACAAGAATAGTGTGTGAGATGAGCATCGCAGATATGGTTCAAATTGAATTATCCGTATTTATCTGATACGGTACCGAGAAAGATCTTGTCGAAAATGTATGGAAAAAGCTGAAAAAAAATGTATCTTCGTATTTTTTTGTGGAGAAAGTTTCAATCTCGTGTTTTTCATGCTATAGTGGATAACAGCGGGCGTTTTAGAGATCGAAAAATCGAAAAAATTCAGTTTTTGAGCTTTTCCTGTACGTATTCCACTAACTATTTCTCAGTACCCCATGAACCTTTGCAGATATTTCTTTTTGTTTCCGAATACTTATACCTAAAACTATCTAACACAGAAGTTTAAACCAGATCTGCAACTCACAAACTTTCCTTATAAAACACATTTTTGGGTGGTATGAAAAAAAGACCAGCGAGAATTCAAACGGCGACTTTTCCGATTTTTTCGTATCGCTAGGGAACTTTCCGACGGCCACCTTTCCGCCGAATCTTTTTTCCGACTTTTTTTCCTTATATTTTTCGGTTTATAAAACATCTATTAACATTTATTTTTTTATTTCTTTGTGTATTAATCATGAATAAACTACCTACTTTGTATAGGAATATTCAAAACGGAAAGTTCATTGAGGAAAAAAGTCGGAAAAAGTTTCGTCGGAAAGGTGGCCGTCGGAAAGTTCCCTAGCGATATGAAAAAATCGGAAAAGTCGCCGTTTGAATTTTCGCTGGTTTTTTTTCATACCACCCATTTTAAAATATTATTTGAAGCTTTTCTGGACTTTTCGAGTTGATTTTACAGTTGATTGACTGCGAGAAGCGCTACGTGTGCTCAAGCCCCGCCTGTCAGCGGAAATTCAAAGCGCGCGGATCTCTCACGACTCACTACAATCGAGTTCATGCCCTGGACAAGGACTCTTTGCGGGTAAATTTGTGTTTCTCGAGAAGAAACAAGGTGAAAGAACTACGAAAAGTTGAGATTCACTCGATGCCTTCCTCCTGCAAAAAACGGCAGTTTTTCCATTGGTTTTTGAAGAAATATGCCCTTTTTGGTTCTTTTTTAGCATGGGTACGAGAAATTTCTCTCAAACCCAAGAAATTATTTTCGGACTTTCTGAAAATCTTCACTCCAAAGATTCAGTTGATCTTCTTCAGAAGACGTGCACCCTGTGCAGAAGGGTCTACGCGAACTCCAACACCTTCCAGCGACACGCCAAGAATTGCCTGGAGAAAAATGGACCCCTGCCAAATGAGCGCATTTTCATCCACTCCTCTGGAAAACCACTCAAAAAGGCCCATAAATGGTGACTTTTAGGGGAGAAATAGCCTCAAAATTGCTTCAAAGTTGGAAATCTTGTTCTCGGGAAGTTCAGAGTGGTTCCTTTAGGGGCTCTTCACGTTTTCTCTCTGGGGCTGCTTTATCTCCCCTATAGGGGCCACTTAAGCTTGTAAAATTCTTCAAATCGTAACAAAACACTTGAAAAACCACTATAGCGACCACTTTAAAGACGACTCAAGCTTCAGGGACCGCGGGGTCAAACCCTGAACCCCTATAGGGACCACAGAAACTATAGCCCTCAAAAGAACACTGTTTCGTCCACTATAGGGGTTGCTTTTTCCCTAATACCTTTAGGGATCACTCTGTCGTTTTTAAGTTGAGCCACACATCCACGGAAATTATTCAGAAAAGTATAGAAAACATGTTGAGTTTGAAGAAAATGTTTTTTTTCCGTAAGAATTAAGTTTCACGGGAGAAGCTTTAATCAAATCAAATCAAAATGTTTTATTTCTCACACACAAGTACTAAAATTCACGAAATAGATCTTGAAGTTCAAAAAAAAAAGAAGCCCGCCAAGCTAAAAACAACAGACACTTCAAGTGTAAAACGCTGACTTAGGCTCATCAAGCTGTTAATATTTTGGTTATTACTGGTTCGCCGACTGAACTGTACTTTGTGAACTTTAGAGATCGATACCCGGACTTTTAATGCAACCGGAACATTTCTGAGCATTTTTAGCGCCTTTAGAACTCTTAAGTGACCACTAGGAAAGACGTGTTTGTCTTCCAAACGTCTCACACACTCCCTCAAATCAGATTTTCACTAATTGGACTTGAATAACGCAAAGCGCATGCTTCTAAGCTTTTCTAGTGATCCCTTTAGGTGTTAGCATTCTTAAGTGATTACTTGAGTGCTCAGGAACGCCGGAGCGTGTCCGGCTTGTGCTTCATAGGGCCTAGTAAGCTGGAAATGGACTAACTGTAGAAAAAGTTTGTATTTATTTTTGCTAAGCTTCAAGTTTTTGAATGATTTTTAATTAAGATCTTTCATTATTCTCCTTTCAAACTTGTAGAGTTTCTAATTTTTTTCTCTCGTTCTGAAAATAAAAAAATCATTTTTTTCAGATACAAAAATCAAGCTAACAGACGCCTCCTGCCCCAATATCTGAAACCTTCTCGATTTTCAAATCAACATCAAATCTATCTTCTCTTTCTTTTCTACCTCATTTTAACCCAATTTTTCGCTTGTATATTAACTTTTAACGCATTGTAGAATATCCCAAAAAATCTAATACTATGCTTTTCTTCTTCTTCTTCTTTCTTCTTTTGGAGAAAAAAACAATACTTTCTGTACTAATTTATACATTTTTCTCACTGATTTCACACATTTCAAACTCTGTTCTATGATATTTTTTCCATTAATTCACAAAATTTTATCATCTTTTTTTTGTCTTTCTATTCATTTTTCTCTTCAATTTACTCCCAACTGGCCCAATTTCTTGCCTGTTTTATAATATATATCTAACCGAGTTTTACATATCATATTTTCTTATGTCTAATGCGTTTCTTTTTGAATTTATCTCATCTCCAATTCACAATCTTATCTCATTCTACACCTTTCTGTCTTTCAATGTTTTATAAACTATCTCCACGAAAACTGATCCGTTTTATTTCTGTTATTCTTTGTAACCTACAAAAAAAATTGGATCTATCGTCGTTTTTCGGATTGTACATCTTCTCCTTGTCTCACATTTGTTTAATGAAATATTTTTTTGGTATCCTTTTTGTTTTTATTTGAAGAAAAAAAGAAATCTTCCGGTTGGTCCCGGGTTTCCGAATTACTTGGGCTACTGTAGGCTAGTGCTCCGCAATGAGAAGTGCATGCAGAAAGTTGTCATTTCCCAAAAAATAAGTCGCTCAGGCACTGGTGCGCGCACGCGCGGGGGTACTGATTCTTTTTTCGCCTTTTACACTGAAATACGGTTTGGAAAAAAATATTTTTTTATATTTTTTTGTGATTCTACCCAGTGCCCCTGCTCACGTTTTAAAGTTGTTCCGAGCACTTTCGAACAAATTTATGAAAACAAAAAAAGCCAATTGAAATTTTGATATTTCAAATTTTTTTGTGCAATCTAATTGTTATAAACTGGTGCAGTGCAATGATAAGAGATGAACAGACATGAAAAATATAAAATTTATAACTTTTCAATTAATTGAAAAGCTAAAAAACAAAAAAGACACCCCGCGCGTGCGCGCAGAAGGCGGCGCGCATGCGCACTTTTTGGCAACAAACACGCGCCGTCAGTGCCTGAGTCGAGACAAAATTTTTCTCAACTTTGCTTTTAGAAGATGTTCTTCAAACTACTTTTTCAGATATCATTTTTCGTTTTGTCGGTTTCTTTAAAAAAATCATTTTGTATTTTTGAACAGTTAATGGGATTAAGTTAATATTGTAAAAAAAAACTAATTTATTATATTTTTTTCAAAACTTTTTCTCTACCGTTTCGACTTAAAAATTTAGTAAGAGCTTGAGTTTTTTTGCTCGTTTCAAAAATTCACAAAAAAATAGTCGAATTCCTTTTTTTACTTTTTTTCGTGTTCGTAAAATATTCAACAACTTGTTTGAGATGGTTGAAGTAATGACGATGGAGGAAAGCGATATATCTAGCGACGAAAAACCAATATATTCACAAATACAGATTTATAGACCGCCTCCGGTGAGTTTTTTTTTTCTGGTTTTCTTTTTTAATTTATCTTGGTCCCGCAGCGAAGGTCATATTGTTCGGCGCTTGGATACTTTCTGAAAAGTGGCCTGAGATTTTTTCTGATGTACAAAATGAAGATCCAGAAAGTCACAAGCTTGAAAATTTGCTAGTCTCAAAACTTATTTTTTTGAAACTTCTAATGGTCCCACAAGGAAGGTGGTTCAACTTTAAAATCGAGAACGCTCTGCAAATCTGTCAGAATACTATGTGAGGTGTGGTTAAAATCCGAAAAGTCACTAGGCTTTTATTAGAAAGAAGCTTAGAAAACAAACAAAACCATCATGAGTTTTTTTTTTTGAAAACGAAGGATTTTTGAAGCTTGAGACTGCTTATATGTTCATCTTGTACTTCAGAGAGTATTCAGGCCTATTTTTTTTAATCTTCAAGCGCAAAATAAAATAACCTTCCTCGTCGAAAAAATTTCCCTTTCGAAACCGATCATTTTCAGATTCGCTACACCCCAATGTCGATTGGGGTCAGGAAAATCGTGAAATTTTTCGCGCCCACACAAAACTTTGTAAATATTATTGCAAACAGTATCAAGATGCATGGCGCGGTTGAAATTCGTCGGAAGAATGCCTTGCAAAAAGGTTTTTTTTTTAGTTTTCAGGAAAAAAAGACAGGAGGCTTTGTATTGAGAACCGATAACTTGGAAAAAATTCTTAGGAACTCGAGAGTGGTCCCTAGACGGGGCAACTTTAGAGGCCATTGTAGGGTCCTCTCTAGGGAAAACTTTACCAACCTCTATAGTGGCCTCTAAAGCTTGCTAAAGCGGTCCCTATAGGGGACATGCTAGTCGATAATAGTTATGAACTCTAAGCGAAGACGCATTTCCACAGGAAAAACTGAATAAATAAGCGTTTTTTGAATGAATGACCCCTATAGGGTCCACTTGAGCTTTAGGGGCTAAGGGGTCAGACCCTAAACTCCAATAGGGGCCACCTTAATTTTACCCCTATAGGGACAACTTTTTCGACCCCTACATGGGCCATTTCCCCCCTAATCCCTCTAGGGACCACTCTGGAATTTCTTAGAAGGGCCGACTGAAGAGAGCCAGATTTTTTGAGAAGTCACTCTAGTGTTTCGTTGATTTTATGAAGTGCGGCCTTTGGAAATCTCTGATGAACGTTATTTTTTGAATTTTTCAAGTGTTTTTTTGAGATCCAAACTGTTTTCATGAACAAAAATGAGGATGAAAAGAGGAAAATCGAGAAAAAATAGACAAACAGCCCTTCATTTTTCAGGGCTGTTTGCTGTGAGAACCTTCAAAAGGTCAATGATTCTGATGCCGCCAATACGGACCCACGCCTACGTACCGAAAGAGTTGAAACGCTATTTCGGAGCTCTGAGACCGAACGAAATGCTCTTCAATCCGGTGCGAGCCAAGTTCGGGACGCTTCCGCCGCGACGACCCGCAGATCCGCGGAGACGACAGCGGCGGAAAAAGCGGGAAGCGCGACGGGCGGCCCGTCTCGGCGAGTCTTTGGAGTCGTCGGAAAGCGAACCCGAAAGGGAAGCCCCCGAGAGGGTCTTCGAGCACGTCACCATGTGCTTGGACGTCAGCCAGGCGCAGCCCGAGTTCAGAGCGGCGAGGAGGTCAGTTGCAGTCGGGTGGAGAGCCCAGACAGGCCGCGCCCCGGGAAAATTCCTGAATCGCCCCCCCCGCCCCAAGGAAAATTTCGATTATGGAGAGAGGAATCAAAGAAGACTTTGGGGTAAGGCTATACCTTATTCTAGAACTCCTCCCCCTTATAGTGCTAAGTGCGGGAAGATTCTAGAATGTCTAGGCAATCTTCAAAAATTGCTCTAGAGCCCCCTCTACGGGAAAATTCGTGAATCGCCCCCTCCAACAAGGCGAATTTTTGATTGGTGCGAGAAGAGGGTGGAATAAAGATCTTTTGTTTAGGGGGGTGGGGCATATTTTATTCTAGAATCCCCCTCAAGTTCTAAGTGCGTGACGATTCTAAAATGCCTAGGCAATAATCGAAATTCGCCCCCACTTTTGTATAAGCATGGCAAGCCTTTTTCCGGATTAGCTTCCCCCACACACCCTTTTAGAATCTGATCAAAAACGCGGCCTCTCTTCAAATCGTTTCGAGACATTCTGGAATGATCCTTGCGTCTTTTCGCGTCCCAGGCGAGCCGAAATTTAGTTATAGAACTTCTCGGAACCCTTTTTGAAAACAAAATCTGAACGAAATCAGTTTTTGAGCTTTTACTGTGCATTTTCGACACCCGACGTTTTTTTCGGCTTCCTGTTCCGAATTTTCATGTTGATCAAAGCTTCATAGTCTGTTCAGATTTTTAATGTCAAGTACAATGACGTCATTCGAAAACGCTCTGTGAGGGTCTCGCTCTCTCATTGGTTCAATGCACAATTAGGGGCGGAGCTTAATCGACGAATCGAAATTTCAAACCTGAACAGACTATATCTTTGAGAGAATTTTGAAGCAAGGTACAAGTAGGTCTAGTAAATAAAAACATTTCAGTGGGCCAATGAAAATTCGCAGTTTTTCAAGCCTTTTTTCAGATCTTGCACGCCAAATAGCAATCTCGTGTACCTCCAGGAGAATCAACGGTTCGAGTTCATAATGACGGCGTCGAGGGAAATCGCCTCCGGCGAAGAAATAACGTTGCCCCATGAGAGGGACTGTACTCGGTCAGAGACTCCGCTGAGATGCGCCTGCAACTCACCCCGTTGCTTTCTTGAGGTATTGGAAGATTTCGCTTGGTTGAAAAATGAAATGAAAGTACTGGAACAAATCTAGACATATATGAAGACGCTCAAGTGAAGCTACTTAGAAAAACGGGGATTTTCCACATTTCAGCTTTTTGCTTAGCTTTTTGGGTTGTTTGAAGGAGCCAGCTGTTTCACGGCAGGCTTGAGCCATTAAAAAAAGGTCCTGACACGATAATGCACGAGATAGTGCCTGGCTGGTGGAGAGCGCGAACAGGCCACGCCCCTAAGCGTCCCAAGCTAGCCGTGAATCAGCTCTACCTATTTTTAAAGGTGCATGGGTCAATTTCATATGGGTTTCAAGGCGAATAGTTCTCGGAGCTGAATGAGAACTTTGAAAAAAGCCGTGACCAGCCATTTTAACGTCTAGCTTGTTAAAGTAGACACTGCAACAATTGAAAATTTGAATTTGAACGCGAAATGGTCATTTCAAAAAAAAAACCTGTTTTTAAAGGCGCAGAAGGTTTTCACGGACTTCTTTCTTTATTTTTAGTGGGCACTATAGAGGCTCGCCAAGGACTACTTGGAGAGGACACTAAAGTGGCCACTAAATCCACCTCTATAGTGGCCACTATATATGTTCTCTATTTAGTGGCCATTTCAGTAGTTTTTCATCCAGTATTCCTTCCAGTAGCTCTGATAATTTTTAAACAAACAGATTGGACCAGTTATGTTGATCCACACCCTAAAGTGGCCACAAAATTTTTTAGTGGTCTATTATTAGCACTTAGACCCCTATAGTGGCCCCTAATTTTTAACACCTAAAGTGGCCACTAACTTGACTACTGGAGTGGCCACTAAAACGTCAAAACCCTATAGTGGCCACTAAAAATTTTCCCAGTAAGGTAATTTATTTATTTTTCAGCTTTTACGCCGCAACAATTTGGAAATTGAGTGCGAGGCAAACGGAAGATGACCGTTATACTGTGAAAAAAAAATCATTTTCTTGTCTCATAAAAAAAAATCCAACTTTTTATGCGCCTTTTCATGGTAATCTCACTGATTTTTTTGATCATTGACTTTCCAAGTTTTTTTTCTTGTTGAGAATCTTTTTTTCCCCTTTTCATGTCAAATTATGGCATTTTTAGCTATTTTTCACCTTGGAAGCTAATTTTTCTCCTCTTCATGTCCTTGGATTCTTTGTTTTATCACAGATCCTTAATAATCATAATAACATCTTTGATCCTCAGGAACTGTAATTTTACAGGTCAGTTTGAATCTTTCATTTCCTCAACGAGTTTTTTTTTAATTTCATGTGCTTTCTGATTACATTTTTCATGAGTAAATGGTTTTTCTTGTTATTTTGATTGAAGAAAAAAAAGAAAGAAATGCTTGAAAATGGGTTTTCAAACCATTTTTGTACTGTGAGAAGTGTTTTTTTTGTTGTTTTTTAAGAGAATATCGATTTTTTGGCTCTCGGAATCAATATGTAGATCAACCGATAGAAAATGTTGGATTTTGAAAAGGTTCGTGATTCTTTACATTTTTTTTCACCTTTTTGATATTTTTTTCTGTGGCGAAAAGCAGCTGGAATAGGCTCAAAACTTTGATTTTTCAAGCTTAAACAAATCTTATATTAATCCCGAGAGATTAAGCTACGTAACTGGATTTTGTCTTTACTTTTTTCTGTTTCTTGTTTTTCAGGAAGGAAAATTTTTGAATAGGCTTAGTTTCTAAATTTTCAGTTGACTAAAAAGATACATTTTTTTTAGGAAGCTTTTATATAATTTTACCTTTTTTAAGAGATTCGATTTTTATGGATTTTTTCCTGAACTTAATGGGTTATTATCTGTATATTAATAATAATTTACTCATCCACAAAGTGAAAAGAATAAATAAGTTAGAACCGGTTTTAGGTCACCCTCACGAGTGACTTCACCGGATAGGGAATACAATAGATATCACAGTTGATAAAATACACGTATAAGCATATTGAGATTTTTGAGATCATAGTAGCCGTCTAGGGATGCCGATGAATAATTCATTGTCGGGGATGTTGTCCAGTCGGCGTATGGTAATCGGTGGTCATTTGTATGCGACCGGGTACTATCTCTATGGTACCTGGATAGTACCTGATCGGTATCTGGATGCTACCGGGTATGTACCTGGAATTCGCGATTGCCACTGGCTGGCACATCGATCGTTTATATACCATCAGTGTTTTTTTACACCTTCTCAAGCTTTCCAGGGTCTTATCGGATAAAGCTGGAACAAAAAATAACGACCCGGGAAGCAATTCCAGACTTTCCGCAAGAAATCGCGAATGTCAGGTAGCTACCCGGTAGCTACTTGCATCGACCTCCTACCCGGGTACCACCAAAGGTTAATCGGGAAGTCGATACAAATAGCTACCGGGTAGCAACTTTTGAAAAAGTCAATCGGCGTATGGTAATCGGTGGTCGTTTGTACGCGACCGGGTACTATCCCTATGGTACCTGGGTCGGAGGTCGATGCAAGTAGCTGCTTGACATTCGCGATTGCTACCGGAAAGTCTAAGATTGCTTCCCGGATCGTTATTTTTTGTTTCAGCTTTATCCAATAAGACCCTGGAAGGCTTGGGAGGGTGTAAAAAAACATTGATGCTATATAAACGACTGTGCCAACCAGTGGCAGTCGCGAATTTCAGGTACCTATCCGGTAGCATCCAGATACCGACCAGGTATTATTCAGGTACCATAGAGATAGTACCCGGTCGCATACAAATGACCACCGATTACCATTCGCCGATTGACTTTTCCAAAAGTTGCTACCCGGTAGCTATTTGTATCGACTTCTCGATTCATCTTTGAAAGTTGATATGCCTGCTCTGAGTTAATTGCGGGATAAAAAAAAGTCACTGCAGTAGTCGAGGTGAGGCTTCACAAATAGATTGAAAACCATATTATACTGTTGGATTGTAAGACAACGAAAACTCTTAAGAATTTGTTTACTTTTCAGCATAGAGGTATTAACTGCTTTCGAGATATGAGCTTTGAAAAGTAGGGGGTTATCCACCATGACACCGAGATCTCTAACAACTTCGGAAGAACTAATCGAAGTGCCGTTGATAGAATAAACTGTCCTTGGATTTGATTTGCCTAGGTGTAGAGCAACAGTTTTGTTTTCGGCTAATGGAAGGCCCCAGGTTTCAGACCACTCAGAAAGCTGATTGATTGCGTTTTGAAGAACGATTGGGTTAGAAGAGAAAATTTTGAGATCATCAGCGAATAAATAGCTAGATACGTCATTACTGAAGTTTTGAGCTAACACGGGGAGTGCAAAAGGTGGTGGGTTGAGAATTTGATGAAACTTGGTATATAGGTACTTTAGGACACCCTGATTCCAATAAAGTTGAAAAAAAGTGCGCCTTTTGGGTTCTAGTCGAGTTATGGCACCTCAAAGTTTGCACGCAAAAAATGCATTGGATGGAAGGAGGAAATATCTCGCGGCGGCTAAGTCTAGCTGCCAGCAGGTGGCGTGGTGTAGTGGCTAGCGGTCTAGCGCTATGGAACCTATGATGCCGGTTCAAATCCTTTTTTGTGCAATTTATTTTTGCCATTTTTTTTCTTTAAAAAATTAGTAAGTTTTGAAGATGGAGTGAATAAACAGCTCAAAATGTTGAAATTCACCATTTTATGCCCTTCTGAGAAAGAATTTTGACAAAAAAATTTTTTTGCTATGAATTTCCTTTTTCCAACCATAAGGCTCTGGTCGACCCCTTTCTTTAAAAAAAATTCCTGATGAAAAAAAAAATCAAAAATTTTTATGAGATTCATCATTTTTTTCTTCTCTTTTAAGATGTTATGTAAGTAGATTTAGCGAAGATGGTTTACGTAATTATAAACACTACTTTACTAATCTCAGTAATCAAAGAACGCCAAACGAGTATTCCCTTAACTAACTTTTAAAGAGATTTCTACGCCTCCGAGAGGTTTTTTTCCCCTTCAGGGCTTTCTCAGTAAGTTTTTTTGGAAAGTTCACGTCCGGTTTGTATCCAGTGGAGAGAGGCGGGCTGAGCCACAACACTCTTCCTAGCTGGGCTGCTGCAGGAGAAAGAAGGTGAACCGGCGGGCAAGAGCCACAACACGGTTTTCCGCAGTCGTCTGAGCAGCTTCGACAGAGAGACACGACGAAGCAACGCTGGCTGGGTCTGAGACCTTGCCCCTCGACGACTCTCGCTTAGTGAACACTTAAGTGTTCGAGGACTTGCAATTCTAAAGCGTAATTACGCGGTTTTTTTATATAACACGAACACGATTTCTTTTCAAATACCACTCTTTACTAACTTCCAACAATTGAGTACGAAAACGGGCGGCTCACAACTGTGCAAGGGTTGAGGTTGATCCCACGTTGAGAAACCTCAAACTTGGGTAATTAAACCAACACGTTTTGTAAAAACAACGAGAAGTTATTAACGCGTACTTAATAGGATAAAGGAGTGCTACTCGTTTGAATAAGAAATTAATTTAACAAAGACGAGATACAAAATGAATAAAATAGATAAACGAAAACAAATAAAAAGGTAACTAATTAGAAAGAACAATGAACTTGAAAGGAATAGAAAAATATGGCGAGAAAGAAAAAGATGACAATAGAGAAGGGCTAAAAAGGGGGAAAATTTGGCGCCTTTCTTTGACCCGTAGATCACTGTCGCGGAAGATCAACTTGTATGTGTTGAAAACTGTGTATCAAAGTCCAGCTTCACTTTAATTTCGCAATCGAGATGATATGGCGATGCTGCAGGAGAGGAAAAATACCAGGAAGTGAATTAACTTACCGCCACCTTTGAAGAAACAGCTTTTTGATGAATGAGAAAAGAAGCATAGCACTATGATAAGTTATTATTCATGACAAAAAACTATGAACTCTTGAAAGAATTTTCTCGACGCCAAAATTTCCTGCATAGAGCATCACAAAGAAAGGCAAAACAATTTTTGTCGAAAGTATTTTTCAAAACGACATAAAATAGTAAATTTCAACATTTTGAACGGTATTTTTCGTTCCATCTTCAAAACTTCATCAATTTTTTTCGAAAAACTTCATGACAAAAAAAAATTTCACCAAGATGGGATCGAACCTGCATCAAAGGCTCCACAGCGGAGCACGCTAGCCACTACACCACGTCACCTGCTGGCACTGGAAGTTAGCCGCCTCGAGATATTTCCTCCTTCCATTCAATGCATTTTTTGCGTGCAAATTTCGAGAAGCCATAGCTCGACTATAACCAAAAAGGCGCACTTTTTTTCAACTTTATTGGAATCAGGGTGTCCTAAAGTACCTATACACCAAGTTTCATCAAGTTCTTAACCCACCCCCTTTCGCACTCCCCGTGTAAGTCATTTATAAAGATTAAAAACAATAGAGGTCCGGTAACAGCTCCTTGAAGTACACCCGACTTAATACAAAAACTGTCGCTGGAAATGAGCCCATCCAATAGAACCCAAGAGTGTCGCTCAGAGAGAAAATTTTCGAACCAGCCAACTAGTTGAGAGTTTAGCCCAAAAGCTCTAAGCTTGTCAAACAAAAGGTTATGAGGGACATTATCAAACGCTTTTTGGAAATCAAAATAAATAACGTCGAAAAATCTACGTTCCTTGAGCAGTGCTTTTCAATTGGAAACACAGTCGAGTAGGGCGCGTTTGCAGGATCAATTGTTAAGAAATCCGAATTGTTTATCAGAAAAGGAATGGCGAAAGGTCATTTTAATGTGGTTCGATAGTATTTTTTCCATAACTCTTGCTAAAGGATGGGTTAGCGAAATAGGTCTATAGTTGGCTGGGTCAGACTTTTTCCCTTTCTTCAAAACAGGTATAACGTAGGACTTTTTCCACATGCTAGGGATGGACTTAGAAAAGTAAGACTCATAAAAAAGCAACGAAAGAGGAACTGCCAAGGCATCTCTGCATTTTTTAAGTATAAAATAGTTTATTAAATCAGGCGAAAAACCATTTTGGGCTGAGTTTGGACAAAACATTGCATACCGCCCTAGAAGAGAATACCAGCAAAAAAAAGCTACAAAGATTTTTTTGCACTTCTCCTTTACGAAACTCCGGAAAAAACAGCAAAAAACGAAAGTCTTGAATCTCAATATTCATCTTATTTGTTTTGGTTCTTCTTAAGGTCGTCAGGAGTCGGAGGCAGGTCTGGCGAGCGAACTACAGACTGCGCCGCTGGAGGTTGATTGCTCGCGCCGGTGGTCTGATGATCACTCGGAGTCCTTTTCACCGTCATCTTTGTTTTTTTCTCGCTCGAATCCGTTGCTGGAAGTCTTCATAACTTCTGCGTAAAAGATTCTTCGAAACAATGGTTGGGATGCTCCCGTTCTCTACTACTCGTTTTCTTCCGAGCTATGGTACCCGATAATTTTTCTAAAACCACCGTACTGCCTGATTCCTTGTTCATTGCCACACAACGGTTCCTGCGCTCCTGCCGAAATTGGATTTGAATTTTGAGTAAAATGTTTCACTGACAGGTGTATTGGAACGGCAGCGACCCATTTTATTTCTCAACGCTGGTCGCCTATTTTTGCCGTTCATACTTCTTTGATTCTGTTCAATACTGAATTTCCTATTTTGAATTAGAAGCGTTTTTTGGTAACTCACAGAAAAAGATGCAACTGTTCGGCAGGCTTTCTTTTTCGAAATGGCTCTTCCTGGATGAATAGATTTGTTTCATCTTCAACGTGAAGACTTTACGCTTCACGCGTCTTTAATTTAGTCTAAATTTGTGTTATTTCAAAGGCGCATGCACGGAGACAGCTCGCGCGCATCGAAAGGAAGGGTTCCGAAGATCGGAGGAAAAACAAAAAGCGTCACAAGCTGCTGCGGACTTTACTCATCTCGTATCAAAAAGTTGAAAAAGGAAGAAGATTTTCCCCTCTTTTTCATCTTCTCATCTTTTACCAATGAAGCCAACCATTTCACGAAATCTTCAAAAATATAGTAGCATGTGATAAGAAAAATGTGTACATATAAGTGTCGAGGGTGGGGAATCCTTGCCGAAAAAAAAAATATATTGGCTTCTATTTTTGGCACACTTTACTGTTGCAGCTTATTTGAGGTGTTATGACGATTAATTTTTTGTTCTTGCGTTTCGAGGATTTTTAAAGCGGAAGAAGCTTTGAAACAAAACTTTTCGCTGTAAGACCCTTTTTTGTAATTTTTACGGGTTTTTTTTCGAAATTTGGATACCGGATTTGGTTTCTTGGATTATTTATCTTTCAGGAAAACTGATTTTCGAAAGAAACAAAAAGTTAGAAGGCAAAAATAATTTTTTTTAAAATATTTTCAATGTGGCTTTGCATAGAAACTCCGGTATTTTTCCTGGAAAATTTCAATTTTCAATTTTTTGAAGTGTGAGATATGTTTTGAAAAAATTTCAACAAGAATCATAAGAAAAAGAAAAATCTGTCGGGATCAGGCTCTGACGGGATCGCCAAGAAGAGATAATCACGGTGTACGTAAGAGGCATTTTTTGTTCTCAAAATTGTTATTGTAAATTTCGCTATGTGCTCGTGGCTCTATCAAAACATCAAAATTGCACTTCACGACTTTGTGATATTCTAGAAATTTGAAAATTGTTTTTTTTTTACGTTTTCAAAGCATAGATCGTGTTTTCAAAATCAATTTTCTTCGCATAATATAGGTCATTCCGCGCCAGCTTGTCACGATTTTAAATTTTCCCCGGAGCTAGAGAACCCATTTCGGCGCTTCGCTTCGATGCTCTCGGTGTTCCCCCCTGCGTGCGCCTTTAATAAATCATTATTTCTGATTAAGATATTGCTTCAATTTCCTCTATCTCTTTTATTAAGTTACGAGGTTGTTTTTAATGGATTGGTTCCCTTTTTCGCTTTAACTATACACACTCAGATTTTGTGCTGGATATGTAAAAAAAAAGAAAATCAAAAAGATTGAATTATTACTTTTTAATTGTTATTAATGAAACCGAATGTTCGAGCTTTTCTTGCATATAATTTTTGGGTTAGTGTGATATAAAATTTGATGTTACAACTGTTTTTGTAGAATAAGAAAATTCTAAAGTTCGGAAATAAGGAGTTTTATTAAAGGCGCACGCAAGGGGGCACACCGAGAGCATCGAAGCGAAGCGCCGAAACTAGGTTCTCTAGCTCCGAGGAAATTTAAAATCGTGACAAGCTGGCGCGGAATACCCTATATAGAATTTTTAGTCATTTATAAACTTTAAGCGTAAAAATTGATTAAACGTAAGTTTTTAGCCGCTTTATGGTACTGGTTTTTGAACGGAACTACTAAAATCTGGGTCAGCTTGAAAGTTTAAAAAACGATTTTTATATTTTTTTTTTTGAAGTCCTATATCATGTGTCTCAAAGCAGTTGATATCGGATAAAATGAACCATTTGATTTATTTCGAAAAGATCTTTCGAAGGTTCACTTGAGTGATTTAATTCAGTCCCTAAAGAAGACCCTTGGGAGAACAAAATCAGTCTGAGAGGCTTACTGGAGTACTGTAAGCAGTTTCGGTGCAAAACTTCTAGCCTTCAAAAGCCAAGACGTCGCTATATACAAAAACATAAAAAAAAATGAATACAAAAAATATAAAACTACAAAAGAATAAAAAAAAGTGGGAAGAACTCAACTTACAAGACAGGTAATTTTACTTGGCGGCTTGGGATTTTCTACAAAATTGCTCGAAAATTCTTGGAAGGTCTAGATAAAGATCCCTTATAGCCACTACCTGCGCAAACTTCTAGTTTTTGAGGTATGATTTTTTTTTAAGTTGCGAAAAATGGTTTTTAGGCCTAACTTTTCGACCTTCAAAATTAGTTATCTTAAAAACTAGAAGTTTGATCAGGTAGCGACTATGAGGGATTTTCATTCAGACCTTCAGAAATTTTTTGAGCAAATTTGCAGAGAAATCCAAACCGTCAAGTCAAATGACTTCCCAGGGCAAAGATTAAAAGCGGCTCGAAAAATCTGCCTATCTCAATTTTCCAAAATTTTCATCAACTTGGAAGCTTTCAACGTTCCGATCTTTGCCGTGGGACATTCCGCTTGCGAAATGATCCCCAAAGGGCCGAAGTCTGTTGACAGCCGACCAACAGCTTATACGTAGGGACCGCAAAGCCACGCCCCTTTTCGCGATAGAAAAAGTGGCTTTTTTTTGGTTTTCAACTTTCATTTTGTTGTAGTTGTAAAATATGTGGAACTGGCGAATAAAATTTGACACACATGTACAGAAAAGCTTCCTCTTTCGTTTAAAAAATATTTCACGCTTTTTTGATGCGTTCTCGCGGAATGTCGTACAAAAACGTGAATGGAACTAAAAAATTTTGTCGTTTTTTTGCTTTTTTTCATGTGTTTTTCAGGTCGAACGCACTCTTTCTTTTTTTAAATAATGATTTTTGATTCAAGTAACGGTAATTTTAAAACAATAAAATAAAAAAATTCGTCTTTGCCAAAAAAATTTTTAGGGAGCGCCGAAAGTCATAATTCAAAAATATCGTTAATAAGCGAATATAATCGAGTTTTTTTGTTTTTTTCAAAAATTTAGACCATGGTCTTACTTAAATTTTTTTCTCCACAGCACCTGTGCTTGAAAAAAAGTTGTTTAATACGCAAAAAAATGCTCTTGAAACTAGAGAAAAAAATTAGCGGCGTTTATCACACAGAAAGCGGTCGAACGCAGGTTTTTTTCAAACGATTATATACATTTATTAGTAAAAAAATCTTTCAATTAAAAAGAATAAAATAAAAAAATTCGTCTTTGCCAAAAAAATTTACGGGGCCGTTTTAATGCAGCGATCGTTAAACGAGGCAAAAAAAGCACTAAAAAAACAGTTTTTTTCGAAGTGAATTTCCACGAAACGTTTGAGTAAAGATTTGCGAACATATTCTGATAAAAAAATAGCTAAATTACTTCAAGTTTTTTTATTTTTTTGAAATAGGCAATCTGTGCTATTCAAACGGCTCAAAGGGTATGGGGATGGAAGCTCCCCGCGTTGGACCTAACAGCTTGGCGCAACGCGTGCGCTCCGATTTTACATTTTGAGGTCGCGAGTTCGATGCCCGCAAGCGCCAGTTTTTTTGTTTTTCTGGAAAATACCGACTTTTTTTCGGCAAACTAGCTGATTAGCATCATTTCAGCACTCTATTATGATTTGTTACATCATAATAGACCAGTATCAAAACTTGTTCTAGAAGAAAAATCGAGAAAAATGTCAAAAATGGAAATACCAAATTTTCAGTACTAAAAACATGGTGCGCGGCGCGCCACCTTTTCCGTCATAACTTTTTTCATCCTCAATCTTTTTTGAAAAACAAAACGGTTCTGAGTTTTGAATCGAAACAGCTATCGAACCATACAAAGCTCAATGCTGAAAAAATTTTTTTGAAAATTCGTCTGCGGTCCCTACTTATACGATTCCGACGGCTCAACGGAGAATGTCGAAAGATTTTTCCCCCGTGACGGACGGCCAGAATCCCCCCGGAAAGCCGATTTCGGTCTTGACGTAGGACATCCGGATCAGAAAGGGACCGCCTTTCTAGAGTCCTCCGGAAAGGAAATTATTCGAGAACGATGCCGTTGTGGATCCACGTCTCCAAGCCTGGTTCCGATTCTGAGCCTGGTCAGTTTGAAAGCTTGGAAATTTGATGCGTCGCGGCTCGCGTAGCGGTTTTATTGGGTCTAGCGGACAATTTTCTTAAAAATTATTAATTTTCAAGCTTTCTGGTTATTTTATGTTGTGGATAGGGCCTCAGGGTTCATTTTGAAATTTATTATATCGTCTTTTGAAAATGAAATTCTGATGCGTCGCGGCTCGCGTAGCGGTTTTATAAAATTTTATGGAAAATTTTCCGAAAACTAACTAAATTTCAAGCGTGTTGCTTAATTTATTATGTGGATGAGGCTTCAGGGCGTATTTCAAAAGTTGATTTTTCGGATTTTGAAATTAGAAATTTGATGCGTCGCGGCTCGCGTAGCGGTTGCAGGGGATCCAGTGAATCATTTTCTCAAAAATTAATCTTTTTTTTTTCAAGCTTGCTGGTTCTTTTATATTGTGGATAGGGTCTCATGGCGCATTTGGAAAAGTTGATTTTAAAATCGGCTTCTGAAGTTTTAAATTAGATGCGTCGCGGCTCGCGTTGCAGTTGGATAGGTTTTAGCGCAAACTTTTCCCTGATTTTTACTAATTTTCCCAGTTTTCAAGCTTGCCGATTCTTTTATGGTGTGAATAGAACCTCTGTATTATTTTGAAAAGCTTGATTTTTCTAGTTATCGGCTTTTGAAGACCCGAATCTGATGCGTCGCGGCTCGCGTAGCGGTTTTATTTAACTTAATGAACTATTTTCTCAATTTTCATTAGTTTTTCCAAGTTTCAAGCTTGCTGATTCCTTTATAATGTGGATAGGGCCTCAGAACGCATTTTTAAAAAAATTTTTTTGATTTTTTTGAAAATATTCATGTTTTATTTTTTTCTAAAGTTCCATGATTCCATGCAAATTATAGTTAGGCGGCTAAATTATACGTTGTAAGAGTTCAAACAAGGTTTGAAAAGAAGAAAAAAAAACAGCTTTCCTCATTTTTTTTTTGAAGAAGAAAAATTTATTCTCTCAAATTCAGTTTTAAAGGTATATCCCAGTCTTTTTCTGCTCCCAAAAATATTAGCTTTTTGCAAATTTCTCAGCCAAATCGAATCTAAACGATTTCAAGAATCCTTCAAAATATCATGGAGCTTCCCGGAAGTTTTTGAGAGGGTGTACACGAGATATCCGCCTTTTTTCATCGGACCACTTAAGGAAGACTTTCAAGTTAACATATGCTTTCAAAAGCTCAGAAATTTGAATGCCAATCTATTTTATGAGATTTTTTCAGTCGAATTTCGACGGAAAGCTTTTTTCTTTTGAATCATTTATAAGCCTTGGGGCATGAATCTCAGAAAT